TTTTTCAGATTCAGTCTACCAATCCCGAGCAAGAAAAAAAGATGGAATAAAACATTAAAAAAAAGTCCACCCAATTTGATAATGCTTTGTCCTATATGGGCCATTGACTATTGCTTATTCATCAAATATGATTTGTAAATGAATTAACTGAATTGTGATGTCTAGACTTATATAAAATAAAAAATAGTATTTACTGATAAATAAGTCATATCATATTCTTGTACAGACTGTGATGTTGAATCCTGGAAAGATGGAATTAGATATCTGTGTCTCAAAGGTTTTACATATGTAGCTTCTCAATATGTTTTATTTTTCTTTTTTGATCAAGGGATCTTAGGGGTAAGGAAGCCAAATATCTTCTATCAGAGAATTTAATGAACAAATACTATTTGGAGAACAGGAAAATATATCCAAAATTCATAGTTTCAACTTTAGCAAATGGAAAAAAAAAAGAAAAAGAAGAAAGGGAGGAAACAAATAATAAGGAATCAGTTTCATGAATGATTGTAAGATTAAAATCCAAACTATTTGGTGATTGAACATGTGATAAATACATAATCTTTGAACCAACAATCTGTAAACCCTTTTATGTATAACTGGACCCACTCCACAAACTCCATGTTGGTGAAAGCAAAGAAAAATAAACTTTTCTAGCATCACAGGAGAGACTTGATTCTGGCACTGAAACAGGGTTACAGCTTTGAGTTGTTACAGAAAGCAACTTCATGCTAAAACGTTTTGTCTTTTTAAAATGTATTTTTAAATAGGGAGAGGACCCTGCTAACATCTACTTTCACATACCTAAAATTGCAACACCAAAGGGTGTAGGAGACACAGATACTGTGAATAAAGAAGTATCATATTCAAGTATATGAGGAAGTATCACAAATGGCCACAGAGAAATATATATATATATTTATATCTATAATACTGTATCAAACAGATGGAATGGGGGTGTGAAACTGATTGTGTGGACACAAATCTAGCCAATCAATTGACATTCTAATCAGACACAAGCCCATCCTAATGAAAGTGCATCAACCCTAAGAAATGCACTCTGACACAACTTCTTCAACCACAGCTCAAATGCTTTATATCTAGTTTTTAGTTAAATAATTTATTGGAATGGCATACTCTGATATCATCATCCAGGTCCCAAATGTTAATAACTTAGTTCCATCTTTCTTCCCATTTATACAAAATAACACTTTAAAACATGTGTTTCTTACATGCTCTTTCCTTCCCCCAATCAGATGCCTTCAGACTCCTTGATTTCACTCAACCTGTATTAAGGGACAATGGGCGGTTTTTTTAATCTTTTCAACCATAAACAGAATAGTGAAATGAGCAGCTTGGATTTTTAACAAGGCCTTTCAGAATGAGTTGGATAGCCTTCAGGCACATGAAAGGTAAAAATGCAATTTTAAAAATAATAATAATACTCCATGCAAAACAGCAGAGCGAAAATAATTGTCCAATTGTATCCATATAAAGCCATGTGTTCCTGTTGCGGATGGAAATCAGGTCATTTTCTGCATATACTATTCATTTTTTTATATAAAATTGTAACAATTACTACAGTTTGGGGGTGAGATTATTTATCTATGGTTTGTAAAGAATGAATATGACACCTGCTCAGAGCCCACTCCTGCCAAGAGCTCATGCCTAAATATTACTCCAGTGCTAAAGGAGAAGTATTCACAAGCCCTGCTTAGCAAGCGCGGCAGTGACGTCCTCAGCCAAAGTGGCAAGCTGAGGGGACTCGAGCAGGTTGATGCTTCCAGAAGAGGAGACGTTGCTGAGTCGTCGGGGTGATGCCACGCTCGACCTGCTTGGGGACTGTGTGATGATCTCAGCCCCATGGTCTACACGGGCCTTTGCGTGCTCTCTGAAGTTCAACTTTTGGCTGTCAATCTGTGTAAGGGAAGCATTAGTTTTCATTAGTCCGAGCATCTTCTCCAGTCCCTGGTTCTTTCCCTGCGTCCCACAGCTGATAAGAATATGATGTCTATTCAGCTCAGCATCCCTACTTCCTGTTGGACAAGTTCTTTAACCAGAGATCCATTTTGATCAAGCTATTTCAGAATACAGTTAGGGAATATGCTGGGTTACTAAAGTGGTAGTATATGTTCTTCCACTTAGGAACATCTATGTAGATAAACATGCATATATGTATGTAACAACAATAAATTTAAAAACATTGACCATGAATTTGAAAGAGAATGAAGGATTCAGAGAGAGGAAAGGGAAAGGAAAAATGATGTAGTTATATTATAATTTCAAAAATAAAAGAAATAATTAAAAATTTCATAAGAAATAAGTTTGCACAAACACATGGCTGGTTCATGGCCTCGTCTCTTACCTTCACATTACCACCCCCAGGGACGTGGTGAGCATTGTCAAGGGAACCAACTTTAGCTTGGGCCTTTTCCTTGAAATCCAGTTTTACACTCTCAATTTTCACACGTCCACCACCTTTAAAAGGAGAAAGCCTTCTAAATTCCTTGTTGAAACGAAATCTCATATTTATGAAAACCATCCTCACACAAGGATGAACCATATAGGACGCCAGAGATGCTGTATTCTACCATCCTAACCAGACATGAGAGGAATCTGCCTGAATTTTCAGTTCGCACCATTTCCCCTTATGAGGCAACAGAATGACATTCTTTTTTATACCATTGTATAGATTGACTCACACATTATGTATTACTTCTCTATCCACATCTACTTTAGAAACCAGAGAGGTTTTCCTAATTGTTATAATACCTCTAAAATTAGCACAGTCATGAAAATATCCTATTGCATCCTTTCTAAAACTTCAGACATATAATCTTTTAATTTTACCAGAACAAATTAAATGGAAATGAAACTATTGGTTATTGATCTTCATGATAAAAATCCACTTATCTAAAAAAGTTTTAGGCTGTAATGGTGCACGTCCTAGACAGCTGTGAACTTGATATATCTAATTATCTGAGGGGATCTCAATTGAGGGCTTGTCCAGATCAGAGTGCTTGTGGCCCTGTCTGTTAGAGACTGTCATTGTTGATTGATATGGCAAGGCCCAGCCTACTGTGGGTGGCACCATCCCTGAGCAGGTGGGCCTGGGCTGTGAGAAAGCTAGATGAACAGGAGCCAATAAGCAAGTCAGAAAACAACCCAGCAAAGCAGAATTTCTTCATGGCTTCTGCTTTAGTTTCTGCTTATATTCTTGCCCTTGTTGCCCTCCATGATGGACTGTGACGGAGAAGTGTGAGCTGAAATGAACTCTTTCCTCCCCTAAGTTGCTTTTAGTTATGGTACTCAACAGCAGCAGAAAGCAAACTGGGAGAGTGGGTATGTGGACAATATCCAGGTAGCTCTCTGTATCTGCAGAGTCTACCTTCTTGGACGAGAAAATACTTGAAAAGAAATACATCTGTATTGAACATCTGTGGGACCTTTTCCTTATCATTATTTCCCAAATATTATATAATCAAGTTTATACAACATTTAGATTGTGTTAGATGCTATAAATAATAATGAAATGATTTAAAACATGTAGAAAGGGAAATTCATGCCATTTTATGTCAGAGACCTGAGGATCTGGGTATCCACATGGAGTCTTGGAACCAATCCTCTACAGATGAGAGAGAAGACTGCCCTCACTTGTACGTGTTCAATATCAACAACTTTGCTGATGAAACGAGTCAAGAATTGCATTTTTTATAACTAGTTTCAAGGCCTCCATTTAATTAGCATACAGACTTTGAATAGATTCCTGTACAGATGCTGACAAGACCACTCTTCTGATAACACGGAGACAGGCTTTTGATCACGCTATTTCCTATATCGCTAACCGTCTGAAGTGTGAGAATCTGCTGATGATTACGGTGCCATGACCACCCTTTAGAGTTGTTTTGTCCTTCCCTGCAGACCTCTTGCAGACTTTTGAATGTAAGGGTTCCTTCTACACTTAGTAGTTATTCAGTGTCTCTCAGACTGTTAACCATGGCTGAGTGTCTGCTGGTATCTTTGACTTAGAAAGGAAGACTACATGTTTCCCCATCGTGATCTTGATGCCTTTACTCATAGAATCCCTCTCTCTCCCTTTGACTGGACTCCTGGAGCTCGGCCTGGTGCTTAGCTGTGGCCTTACCTTCTTGTAGGAGGGAATGGGGGGGGTAGGTTGGGAGGGGATGTTGAAGGGGTGGGAGAAGGGAAAAGGGGGAATCTTTGATTGGTATGTAAAGTGAATAAAAAAAATTTAATAAAAAGAAAGGTAGACACAATCTTTTTTTATATATCTGCACCTAAGAGATTTTCAAGGGATGCTTGGTTTCAGTTACATGCATTTGTCTGGAAGAAGTGCATCCTAAAATCTGATACTTCCACTGGATTTTGATTTAGAAAAATGGTTGCAAGGATCTATAAAAAAAATATGGAAAACACTTTTCAATTTGGAATTCTTGATGTTTATGGATCTCCGTAACTTTTTAGGGGTCAGTTAAGTTTCCACATTTGGGGAGGACTGCAAGGGTCAGCACATCCCAAGGGCAATAGGGGAGGCTCGCCTTGAGAAAACCTTCCTGATCGAAGTATCTTCTGACCAGATAAAGAAAGAGGTCTCATTAAGGTTCAATCACATGTTTCTTGAGCTTGTGACATCTTTCTTGTTCTAACTCTACACACTGATGTTAATACCCAAGTGCCTGGCCAAAGGCCTCTTGTAATTGTAAGGTATTGAAGTACATTTTCAAAAGCATTCATTTTTCTCCCGAAATTTAGGATATATAAACTACTATGTAATTCTCATGTATGGGAGATACCTCAGAATATGCATCATTTCATGGAGCATTGTTCTTCCTATGTTTTTCCTAGCCTGCGGGTCTCACTTGTTGATTGTGATGGGATTAGCTTTATTCATAATGATTCATACAAATGTAATCACCTTGAGTAGCTGGAGAATGTTGGACCTTTTAACTAAGGATATTAATTGCTTTGGAATCTTATTTTTGCATTTTTTCTTTTTTTGGTGGCTTCTGGTAGAAATTCCTCTCCAAAGATCCTTTTCTTTGACTGTATGCTGTGTTAACATAGTTCAGTTAAAATGTTATTGAACTTTTTTTTTAAAGGAAAGAAAAATAATATATTGACACAAACTACATCCAACAAAGGCTAGCTCTGTTGGTTTCTCACTAGAGACTTATATAATATTTAGACAAGCCCATTTGAATTTAAAGATATATGCCTCTGGTTTTAAAATACTTTGGCAGTCACCCTGAGCAGTAATCATGAAAAACTATAATCTTATCAGGCTTTAAAGTGAAGTGTAGATATTTCTATTTGTGCCCTTGGGCGTTGAACTTTTCTTTCAGTGTGGATGCTTACATTCCACAGCAACTTTGTGAAAAGATTGCTATTGTCAAGGATCACCAGTTTGACACTTCCTTTATGAATTTAGTCATCCAACTTAGTTATAATAGAAGAACCAGATTTAGAAACAAGTAGGAGTCTGTGACAATAGTCTTTTATGTCCAGCAAATCATACACAGAATATTGCCTTTATTTCTATGATAGTTTCTGTGCATCCAAACTCCAGGTGAATTTGACTAATTCCATCTGCCTAGAATCAAAGAAACCAACATTTTTTTTTTTTTTACAATTTACAATTTACATTTACATTTTCAATTCTGTAAGAAAATTGGCAATGTGGCAAAATACCCAAGTTACGTTATAAACTGAACTAACAGTAGTAGTCAGTTCCTCAGTGGTAGACCAGCTATGGACAGGGGTTTTGAAGATCTGAGCTAGGATAAGGGCCCTGGCTGGTAAGGCAAGGAGAAAGGATGGGTTGGTCTACTGGTGCAGTTCTGTCACCAGCAATGCAGAGTCCATATACAAAGATTCAATCTCCTTGGTTTGCCATGAACACCCTTTGGCACAGTAAAGACTCATTTCTAGCTATTTCTAATGTAGCTGTCCACTCTGAGACCTGTTCTACCCATCTTTGTATCCAACCAAAAGGGCCTTAATAATTTCCTGTCTAGAAGTCTCAGCTCAATTATTGTTATAACTTACTTTTGACAGTATTTGAGATGATAATTAGTCTACTAGTCTACATTTGGCTTGTATGTTAAGATGCCAAACAGATGGATAAAGTCAGTGATTTTGCCATCCTGTAATCCAATGGTATGTTATAAATTGTACAGTGTCAAAATATCCTCAAGAACATTAGACATTTGACATTATTATATATGTCTGGAGGTAAAATTTAGCACAAATAAACTGTTTGTAATACTCAGAGCAAAAACATGACTCATGTCACATTCATACATTGAAATGAAGATCTTCCACCACAGCAAGTGGGAATTGTTCTACTTTAAAGTACCAGCCTATGAGATAACCCTTAAAAGATAAAAGCGTCTAGGGCCAAGTAAAAAGCCATATTGCCTTCTGCTGAGGATTCCCAGTGCTTACTCCCTCAAGAAAGAGTTGGAGAAGTGAATCAGATAAATGACTTTCTTTTTTTTTTTTTTTTTTTTTTTTTTTTTAGGTTTTTCGAGACAGGGTTTCTCTGTGTAGTTTTGCGCCTTTCCTGGAACTCACTCTGTAGCCCAGGCTGGCCTCGAACTCGCAGAGATCCGCCTGCCTCTGCCTCCCGAGTGCTGGGATTAAAGGCGTGCGCCACCACCGCCCGGCCCAGATAAATGACTTTCTTAAGCTGTGAGACCCAATCCTTTTTCACATATTGTAGAAAAAAATTTTTGGAAAAATATTTGGAGATACTATCTCCGGTCACTGTTCTTACGTATAAGACTTGATGTATTTTGTAGTCTACATATTCTGAAAGAACTCCAGTGTTCTATACACATGGTCACCTCCAGGTAATTAGGTTCACTGATCTCAGAGGAAGTTGCTCTGACAGTTTGAACTTAAATTTCGATTAACAAATCATGAAGTATCAAGAGTTCAAAACAGTTTTTCACTCATGTTTCCCACAAAAGCATCAAGAATTCTGCTTGTCTACTTCTTCAATCCAATTAAGTATTCTTCAACTGTTACAAATATTTTTTACCTGGCCTATGACGGATGTTCTTCAGAGAGCCGCATTTGGATGTCACATGGCTTAAGTCTATCTTCTTAGTAACGATTTGTACCTGTGTGAATTACAGAAAATGAACTTTAGATAGCTTAGACATGCAAGGCTTCCAAGCTGGGCACAAATTGGGACATGTACCCACACTTGTAACATGTAACATCACATTCAGAAACACACATACACACACACACACACACAGAAACAGACACACACACACACAGACATGCGTAAACACACAGAGACACACACACAGAAACACACACACAAGACACAGACACACCCAGACATGCATAAACACACACACACACAGACACACAGACATGCACACACAGACACAGACATAGACACACACACACACATACACACACACACACACACACACACACACACACACACAAAATTTCCCATCTGTTTCCCCTACTTCAAACTGGAAAGGAGAACCCAAGCAAGTGAATACCCTGAAATAGAAGTTTTATTAGTAGAAAATAGATAATACTGTAAGAGCATGGAGACATTTGTATTAATAAGGCAAGCATCCCCAGAGAAAAGTCCCACCATGTTAAACTCTTCCATAGCAAAGAACCAAGAGAAGGATGGGCTATTATGTACAAGGTGACTTTTATATAGACGTGACTAATGCTGCTCACAGTAACAAGACCAGCATGGAGACAGAAGTAAGCTCTAAGTGGGCTTTTGTAAACTGTTCCCTTAGCTTGGCTAAATTTTCTTGCACACTGAGTTATAAAATGATGCTGTTTTTCTTGTTTTTATGGTTCATTGACATGTTTCATCTGTCAATATTTGAAGCAGAGTTTTCTACCACCTGTTGGAATGGTCCAATGTCCATGAGCATCAGAAGAATGTGAGAATCCCTCATACACAGGGAATATGCACAATAAAGCAGGTGATTCCTCTCTTTTTTTTTTTTTGGTTTTTCGAGACAGGGTTTCTCTGTGTAGCTTTGCGCCTTTCCTGGAACTCGCTTTGGAGACCAGGCTGGCCTTGAACTCACAGAGATCCGCCTGGCTCTGCCTCCCGAGTGCTGGGATTAAAGGCGTGCGCCACCACCGCCCGGCCTGATTCCTCTCTTAAGGGAAGTTTAATCCCACTGTTTTGCAGGTTGGAAGCGCCAACCTAAGCTTAGTGTAAGATCTTACGTTATCTGAACCTATTCTTTACTGCTGTATTTGGACCAAAGGCATTTGCCATGTCCATCTTCTGCTACCCTCAAGGGAATAAACTGGACCAGAGCTTCTTTCATGAAATATCACATGATGTTATATACACTTATACTCAGGAGAGCAACCAAGTCAGTGTGGATACCGATCCTGAGGCATAGACCAGCATCCATGAAGGAGCTCAGCAAATACTGCTGTGGCATTTCCACAGCAGAGGTATCATGCTCAGTCTGCTTTGATCATCGGGTGACCGTTCTTTATAGAATGTACTAATATTTTCTTTGTAGTGCTTAAATCCATTTCTGCTTGGCCGAAGAGTGAGAAGATAGAGGAATCTTAGATTACTGAAGGTTCAGTGTCTGACACCCTGTACACTACTTAAGTCACAGATTATCAGAGTTTCATGCTTAGATGGCAGAAAAAAATAGACTCGGCATGATTTACCCTTTGAAATTATTATTATTTTCTGGGGGACCATGATTTCTTGAGCTTGAGCTTAACTGACTGCTTCTACTCTGCCTCTACCAACAATTAAGAAGTATGAATTCAGTATCGTTTCTTTTCATAGGATATTATTTACACAAAATGAAAGAGACAGGAGAAAGCCCATCAGGATAGAATGTATGCTAGAACCGCAGTCTTTTTTACTTTGAATTATAGATGAGCCACGCTTTGCCAATGTTGTGCTATTCCAGAAGATACCCTAACTTTCATGAATAATGAACCACGGAGGATCGACATGACATACTCGGGGTGCTTTCATGTATACCAGTCTTTGCCTCAAGAGTAAATGAAATGGGAGTGAGGAAAGTGTGAGCCTGGCTCACTTTTTCAGGGGAAAAGATAAAGCAATAGAAGCACCCTGCTGACTGAAAAGGCCAAGAAACAGTTAGAAGGTGAGGAGGGTTGGCCATCCCCTGGGAAACCACAGTACATCTAGCCAGCTCTCCTTTCTCAACGGATCTGACAGGAAAGGACGGGGAGTCCATCACCAAGAAAGCAAGCCAGCATGCTAGATGACACGTGTTGAGAAAAAGAAGTGTGTCATGAGGAATGAGAAGGAGGAGGAGGAGGAGGAGGAGGAGGAGGAGGAGGAGGAGGAGGAGGAGGAGAAGAGGGAACTGGTTGTGCAGGAGTCTCCACACACTTTCAAGACAGCTTTCTCAGAGGAGCTTCTACTTACATTTCCGCCCCCAGCAGAATGTTTGATGTTATCCTTGGAACCACATCTTGACTGAACTTTGCTAAAATCGATCTTCTTGTTTAAAATCCTAACCTAAAAGGAATTGGAGGCAACATTTTTCTTTCCAGGTACTGGGCGGAGGGAACTAGAATGCTGCGGAGTACTACAGAGGCCCTCTACTTCCTTCCACCCATTGTCACGTAGGAGAAGAAACTACGCTGCCTCCAAACTGTAGCTATGTACTGGAGTATGAGTCCTCATTTTCCTGGAACCCCCAAAGGCCAAGTATCCTAGCTCTATAGATAGAATCTGGAGACAGGGAGAACGGAAAAATAGTACTCGGATCTGTGATGGGGAGACTGGAACCCTGGGGCTCTGGTTTACTCAGTAGCTCAGTAGTGTAGTACAGTGTAGGTTAGCCCAAGATCTTGGAGGATATGCCAGTGCTACTCTCAGTCCCCCCCCCCCCCCAAACTACAGTCGTCAGTTATTAACCACCTCCTGCACTTAACTGTTCTGTTACCCTACACTGAGTAAGCCAGGGGATGGGGTGGGGGTGGGGCTCATGCTTGGTCTGGTTGACAGTCCCAAGTCAGGATTCCCATGCATGCAAGAATTCCTGGTTCCCCAGGAAGGTCAACAAAAGAACCCTGGGTCTGTTTTGAGTGTGGCTGCATCTTTTAAAGGGCCCCTGCTTGCAACAGCTCCGGAGCAACCTTTACCCATTAATGGACATTCAGAATCATTGCTTTCATATGCCAAGGTAAGAAAACCAAAGTCCATCAGTCAGCTGACTTAAGTTAGGCCATCTAGGATTTGGTTGCAGCCTCAAGACCTGAGGCAAAACGTTTTATTTAGTTATTCAGGAAGTCAAGCATTCTTCCTGAAAACCACAGCAAATCAGGACCTGGAAAGACTCTACTGTGCTCTAACATACTGTAAAAGTCATAACTGCCATAATTTCTTTCATCTGTCTTTTGAAGTTGGCATGTTTTGAAGGACAAACAAAATAAATATCAAAAGAAGGATTTACTTTTGTTATGCTCATTGGTATACTTTGTTTTCTTTCTTTTGGATACATCTCCCCCATAGCTTAAAAAAATCACATTGTTACATCTTTAAGGTACAGTTTATCTTCTGTACATACTCTTAATAACTTTAGTTTAAATGTAAGTTTTCTTGAGAGTATTAACAAGTCTATGGGTGTTTGCAGAAAAGAATCTAAGATTCAAAATGGCACAGAATCCTATTTTTAGTTATGCAAGGCTTAAATCACAGTGCCTGTCTAACATGAACAAGACAGCTTGTCCCTTGCAGAGAAATATCATTGGCAGCTCTCATCAGGAGCCCAAGGCAAGGACCTCTTGTCAACATTTAAATTCAGAAGACATGATGCTAGGCTGCTCTCTAGGGCATAACAAAACTTCCAATGTAAGAACTGTGAGGATATCACAGGATGTACAGCTACCATTAAATGTACCACATTCTTCGAGTTTTACATAAGTGGTGGAAGTAGTTGCTTTTAAAATGGTGAAGACCATTACATTTAAAGCCTCAATCATAAATTATCTTCAGAAGGCAAATCATCTCAATTTATTATGCCTAGTGATAATATTTTAAATAATTCTGGAAATGAAATAGAATTTATATGAGCCATTTTACTAATCTATGAGGATGAAAGGTATTTCTATTTCATAAATTTCAATTTAATCATTAAAGTCTCAAGTGACTCACCATTAAATCATCGGAATCCAAACATTGATTCTGATTCACTTATTGTAAGAATGGAAACCCATGTTCAGCTTCATAGATCTGTTTGACCCTAACATTTATTTGACAATTTTAATGATTTCCAAAATATGTGATTTAAAAAGACTCACCTTGCCAACATCACTTAGAATGTTCTAGAATCTCAAAATCCTATAATTTAAAAAGCTTGCTTTTGTTGATTTTTCCCAGAGTCACTCATTTCCCAGGGAAAACCTTAACTGGTCTTTTAAAATGATACATCTCTACTCAATTAGTAATGTGAAACAGGCTTTGAGCATGGATAATGACATATTCTTTACAAATATATGTATTGCAATAGTTTTGTAACATTTTTATTTAAAATGAGGAAAAGCATGACAAATAAAAATACATAGTCCTCCATGTTGCATAATGGCTCAATTTAAATGCTTAAAGGTGATTCTAGTCTCCTGCATTTTACTCTGACTTTGGTGATTCAGTAGCTTAGCTGAATTTTTGTTCAGATAACAGTAATATAATTTTGAGGCAGTATATAATATAGCACGAATCTTAAAAGGGTCTTATTAATAAAAACAAACCTGGAGCCAGGTGCTGGGGTCAACGCTGGAAGATCAGAGAAGCAGAACAAGCCACAGCCACCTCACCTTGCCATTTCCTCAGCTGATCCTGTTTCCTCAGACTGGACGCCTCTGAGTCCTCATCCAGAATGAATCTCAGCTGAACTGCTGCTCAAAAGTCTAAAAGCTTAACCAGGCTTAGTTCCTCATCCTCACGTCTTAAATACCTTTCTGCTTCCTGCCATCGCTTCCTGGGATTAAAGGCTCTTGTTACCACTCCTGGCTGTTTCCATTGTGGCTTTGAACTCCCAGAGATCCAGATGGATCTCTACCTCTGGAATGCTAGGATTAAAGGCGTGTGTGCCACCATTTTCTGGCCTCTGTATCTCGTGGCTGTTCTGTTCTCTGACCCCAGATAAGTTTATTAGGGTGCACAATACTTTGGGGAACACAATATCACCACAACATAAGTATAGGTCAATATATCACTAGACATTTAATCAGAAGTTTGAAATTCCTATGAATTCTGTCTGTTCTTCTACCTTGATTGATAAGTACATAGTTAATTTCTGGATATTATTTACATAACTCTAATGGGACTTCAGCATGTTGTTTTAATTGTGACAATTTATCACCATATCCTGTACATATAATAGACTGTTCCTTTAGAGAGATTAACATTCCTCCCACAAAAATGGGATTATTTTAGGAAAAGGCCAGTAAAGAGTCAATCTGAGTAGTTACTTGGACATTTTGGAACCTGTAAATTGAAAGAAGATAAATCTCTGGAGGTCTGTTTTTAGCAAACCAATATAAGTGAGAGACATTCATCCTGGGGAATCAACTTGAATTTCTTGTACAAGGAGATATTTACTTATTCATTTTAACACACACTGAGGGGTCTGTCTTTATTTAAACAACTACATGTCAGCCCCATTGCTAAGATACAGGTAATATCAGTGAGTGATACTATGCAAAATCAGCACTCTGCAATCTTCAAACACCCTGGAGGGATGGACCTTAGCTGCAACATTGTTGCTATTTTCTCCCAGGTGAATTTGTCTCATAAGAATCTTGTGAAAAGGTGGTGGGCAGTGATTTCCCTGCAACCTCAGAAAAAATGACCATTTCCTTTGGTGTTATTTCTCAGCACATCTTAGAATGAAGCTCTCCTTTGATTACAAAATTACCTGCCTCTCTCAAATGGAACTCCCATTCCACTGGAATGGAAACTATTGATCCGGTTGCTGAAAACCATCAGATTAAAGCAAAAGCAAGAATATGTCAGATATCCTGAAGATGAAAAGTCAGCCACGCTGATGATGCTCCTCAATGATGTACTCATCTGAAAAGTTTATATTCTCATGAACACACGTTTGGGTTTAGGACTGCTACAGTTAATTCAGAATTTAATTAACCCTGCCTATAATGTCCTCAAAATTGATGTAAATAATAGATAATCTTAAATAGACATGTAAGTTGAAATAAATTTATATTTCATGTAGAATTAACATAAAAGTCTAGAGGGAGAGTATAAGTTGAAGAAGGGGCTGACTCTTTCCTAGAGACTGTTTATCCAGAGCAATTTATCACATCACACAGAAAGTGGGATCACACTGAAACCCCCATGCTGAGCAGGCAATGCTGAGAACTTGGGAAAGTTTTACCATTTGACACACGTCAAGACTTCAAAGCAGCCTCCCAACAGGACATGGAAGGGACAGACACTATAAACACAGCAGCCAGTGTAATTCTAGAAAATCAGCAAGCGACAAGCAAGGAGTCCCTTCAAAGTCATGCTCAGTGACTTCTTCATGTTGATGTTTTCCCGTCACTACAATTTTTAGAAAATTCTAAGGAATAGAAGACCAGGTCCCTGAAGTAAATTAACTTCTAAACCATCTTCTCAGCTCCCCACTGCATCCTGAGGTCTAGGCTGCTCATGCCCTTGTTTGGTTGAACAAATGGCAAACAAAACAGGGCAGTACAGACTTCAGTTTTGTGAACTCCAAGTAATGATTTTCTCAGAGGGCTGAATAGTTAATATTTCCAAATGTAGCTCTAGAAGTTGTGTTACCTTACAAAAGACTTTTGAATTATCATTTCACAATCTCTGTTGAATATAGACAGGCTCACTGATCTAAGGACCTTTTGTTTTGAGATAGCAATGGCTTTAATAACAAAAAGAGATAAATACGATCAGTAAATAAGTCTTCTCAGCATAATGTACTGGACTTCGGTGAATAGTTCCTCCCTTCATACTAGGGTGACTGACACTATTTTCAACTTCGTTATTTTATTATTCACCCATTTATCACTTACCATAGCCTTAATTAAGGCAGTGGAGGAAGACAAGAGAAGCTGAAACAAAGCCTGTCCAGTCTCTCAGGATTTAGAGGCCACACTTTGCTCTCTCTTGCACATCTGTCACAGACCAGTCGGCAACCTCATTGATCTTTATATGTGAATGAGAAAACAGTCTTAGCTACTCTCTTTGCCTTAGTCTTTCTTGGAAATTCCACTATCTTTGGCCTAGCTAATCTGAGAAAGACAGATTGAGGCAATAAATGACATTTCACAAGACAAGCAATCAAATTCCCACGCATAGCCACGCCTTAGCCTTCTCTAGCCACATGATAAAGAACAATCTGAGAAAACAGGTTCTGTTGACTGGTCCCATTCGTAATCTGCAACTCTTACAGGGGCACAGAACTTGTGGGGCTTTTGTTGTTAGGGTCTCACTATGTAGCCCAGGCCGGCCTTGAACTTGCAATCTTCCAGTTGCTGTTTCCCCAGTGCTGGAATGACACACTGTACGTGTAACATCACACTCTGAAAAACGTGTGTTTTTACAATGATCTTGATACAGTTGATGGGAAAAAAAGTAAATGTCTCAATGCATATAAGATGATTCCCTATAAATCAAAGCCCTCTGGAAAGCTTGATTCACAGAAAAGGTAATACACAAGTTGCCTAAATTTTCTTAAGCTACATGTTTGTTTTATCTACTTCTTAAAAGGAAATATTAATTTAAAATTTATGTTAAATTGCGATTGAGGACTTTGCTCCAGATAGTTTTAACTTAAAATATTTCATAAGATAGTTGCAGCTATACGTTGAGTTAAATGAGCCAAGTTTGCTCTCTCCAGTGAATCCATGATTGTGTATTTTTTTTTTTCCTCAGTAGAATGAGCCTGTGTTTGGGCTGAGAGGATTAACTATATTACTTTCTGCAAAGCTCATCACATTTTCTACTAACTCATCTGTCCCATCAGACACTGGCTTGCCTTGCCTTAGCTGACTGTGTTGAGCTTCTCTGGTGACAGAAACTAGACCTTAAGGTAAGAGATAAGAAACCGGCGAAAAAGCTACAAATACAGAAATCAACAACTGTTCCAATCAGTGACAAGTAACAACGTTGCCAGATTTCTGCACACCACTATTATAAAACCTAGTTTCTGCAACAAACTAGAGGATTCCTCTGTCTTTGATAATTCTGGGCTGGCTGCTGCCTGCTCAAAAATTCTATAATAATGAACTTGTAATTGAAAGTAGCATGTCAACGGTTTCAATTTTTTTCAGTGCCACCAGATAATAAAGGTCTTTAACACATCGCCCTGATAATTTCAATGACACCCTAACGTAACATATTTCCCTTTCATTCTATAAAGTAGGAATTGTAAAACGCCCTAGTCAAGCCCTCCAGTAGACATCCACACACAAAAAGATTTCTTCACTCCCAGTATTTGAGAAGATATACTCATTGTTAGGGGGCTTTTAGGAGGAAAATGCTACAGTGTTCAGACAAATATTTTCTCTACAGACAGCTCAATTGCAAGTATCAATTTTCCCTTTGTAAATTTAATTAATTTATAGCATTCACTAAAAGTTGCGGGGGGGCACATATTTTCTCTCTGCCTCTCATCTTGGTGAAGCAGGACCTCCTGCTTCTGCAACAAGAGTCATGGCATCATTTCTCAGTTGTAGATTTCTTTCTGAGTCGTCTGGTGCTGAGACAGGGTGATTCTGAGTCAGTTTAACCCCCTTCCCAATGAAAGAAGATGTTTAATAAATAATGCCATGATTTTGAAGCTATTTTTGTTCGAGATATAAATTTCGGTTAATATGCCTTAACTAGTCCTTAAGCACAATCTCTGGGGATTTTTTTTTAATCTCAGATCAAAATTATATACCAGCTTTATGAATTGGCACCTTTGGTGGAGGTCCATTTGAAGTGGACCTGGCAACATCAACAAACAAAAAGAGAAGAAAATGGGCGTCCTCCTGTGTTTGAATTGGTTTAAAAGGTCTTGCAAATCTATGGCTAAAACTAAAGCAGAAAGGTTAGGGCAACCTACAGGAGCCCTTAAAGAATATCACACATTATAAAACTTCTATGAAACGCTATCAATGCCTTTTTATATTTATTAAATTTTCCTTTCAGGTTCTATATGACATCCTAGAAATTACATTTTTTTTTTCTGAATCTAAGAGATGATGGCTTTAAAATCAACATTCTCCAGGAGACAAAGAAAGTCACTTTGAGTGAAGAAGAATTGTCAGACATGGGGTTTTCATAACAGGGACCTGTCCAGTGTTGCTTGTCTGTGATCTCAGCACTTGGGGAGCTGAGGCAGGGACATGGATTAAAAGCCACCCTGGGATTTGTAGCACAACCTTGTCTCAAAACAGGTTACTCCATTTTTAGACAGTTCCTATCAAAAGTTATGGTGAAGAACATTCCATTTAAGTTTAATAGTATGCTAAATGGATTTTATTCAAGTTACTCTTCTAAATGATTTACATATGATTGTTAAAAATGCCAAAAGCTGGCTATTTCTAAATGACTCAAAGGTTTCCTTCTCTTATATGGGTAAAACTGATGAATTTAAGAACAATGAGATGATCCTTGTTCTTTTTATTTTTTATTGCAGATCAAATTGGTTAGAATTTGGGTTATATTTTTGGCTCTAAAAGTTTCTTACACCTCATATTTTCACAGCATCTTCTGTGAAATGTATCTGTCTGTGACCACACTATTACAGCTGTTCTTAAAGGGGCCCATCACCCTCCCCATCCCTGGCTCATCAGCTGATCTTTCTTAAGCCCTTGGGCCTTCCTAGAACAGAACCATAATGAACGCTGATGCTAAGGATGGAGCAGCAAAGAATTGGGGTACCGATGGTAGGCAGGAATGCTTGAAGACTTCACATTTCAGCAAGAGCTTTCTCTGAAACCTCCTAAGGTAGAATTTTCTTGGCAGGAAGGAAGGATGTCAGAAGTCAGAGGCAGAAATTATAGGACACAAGTGGTGGAGTGACAGAAAAAGCAGTAAGATGCAGAGAAATCTGAGATCCAATGGAGCGTTATGTTTTGTTCACAGACAGAGGTAGACATTGGCTTTTGCCCTGTATTTCGAGAATAATTTTTTAAAAAAAACAACCCTTTTGAAGTTGAACCATCCAATACTATAGTAATAGTCTGAGCTATATTAAACAGTATTTGTATCATTTTCTTCCATGATTTGTCCAAGCAAGAGCCAGGTCAGAAGAGAACTCAGAGCCCTCTGCTTAGAAAGCAAATAAGTGTTTGTTCTAGACCTGCTGCTGGGGGGAAAGAGAGCTTTTTTCATAACAGTACCATTCTTAAATATAACTTTCATGGCTACAGTTCTGTTCACTAGAATTGTATAGAGTTGTCTGTTTAGTATTAACCGAAATCCCTACCCTTTTCAATATGTAGGCAATAACAGGCAGGCAGCAACCTGGTGAACCACATTGTGATTATGGACTAAATGTTAGGAAATGGTAAAACATATCACAAGTTATCATCAGTCATAAATGAAGGAGTTAAAATAGAAATCACTAATGTTTAGAGTCAGGTGAGCTCATGGTCTAAATCCAAAAGAGAAAACTCAAATCTGTAATACAAGTTAATTTTATTATACCCAAACCTACAGAAACCTGTTCAGAAATCAGCTCCAGGATTCTTGCCTATGGTTAAGCCCACTGGTATTCATTAACGATCAGAAGGGAATGACATACTGACTGATTTTCAATGCATTTCCTAAGCTTGATTCTCCAGACGAGATGCAGACTCAGCAGTGAATGGTGGCCAGTGGCCTTGTAACATCCCCATCTTCCTGTGCACAAAACTGTCAGATTGTAAAACACATGTGATATCATGGAATTCTTACCTGACCCCCTTTAGGCTGGTATTTGATGTTGTCCGTTGATCCGATTTTGGATTTGACATTCTTCAGGTCTGGCAGTGGTTGGTTAATAAGCCGTAGCTGCTTGGGAGTAGCTGGGGACTTTGGAGGAGTGCGGATGATGGCGACTTTCTTCTCACTGGGCACCAAGATGGCAGATTTGGGGGTTCCTGGTGTATGAGGGGTCCTGGGATAGCTGGGGGTTCCAGGAGTGCCTGGGGTACGTGAAGAGTAGCTTGGGGGAGTGCCAGGCGTGATTGCGGTGGATCCAGGGGTGGTAGGAGTTGAGGTGCCACTCTTTCCTGCTCTGCGAATTGGTTCTGACCCTATGTTAACAACCGGGTAACACACACACACACACACACACACACACACACACACACACACACACACACACACGAGGAAGAGGAAAAACACACCACAGCATTAGAAAACTCTCTTCAAGGGACCCTTCTTCCCACACTTGGTAGTCAAAGTCAAATGTGTTCAGGACTCTATGAAAGACCACAATAATGCTCAGAGGTGAGATCCCCCTTTTTTTTTATGTTCATAAGCTGGTGATATTTTTGGATATATGTTAATATACAAAATTAAAACTTGCACTTTTTCCGATTTAGTTTCATAGTTCTTACTGGGAATCCTTGGAAACTTTTCTTCTGTTATTGGGCCACATGGATGACCTGCAGCTAGAAACAGCATACGTTTATTGAGGTATGTGGATCCCTGCTTGTGGGAAGACTCCTGAATGGTGCATGGATCATTCATTCCTCTCTTCAAGCACATCCATTCTGAGACTCAGATGTACACATCATACACAACTGTGCAATTATTTCCCATAGTTTTAGCCTGTGTGGGTTTCAGTGTTCATCTCTTAGCTTATATTGAGAGCACAGATAATTCCAAACTAACACATTTAGTAAGAGAGTTTCATTATGCTTTGAGTTAAGTGAGCTACTGAATCCAGCATTACACATGTTCCCTTCTTCCCAGTTCATGAGATTCCTGCATAGAATTGTTTCCTTCACATCTTTTCAGAGGTCGCATAAATGCCAGGACATTCCTGTATGTAGTTAAGGAGATGGCAGGCAGACAGAGGAAGGCGAAATGCTTGCCTTTCTAATTGCCTATGTATGTTTTTGCTATTGCTGTACAGAGCTAAAAGAGGCTCAATATTTGTAGATGTCAACACGTCAGTTATAATCACTATCAAGTGACACGGTTCAGTAGACTTGTGAACAAAGAAGTCACAAAGCACTGGATCAGAACATTTTTTAAAAAGCAGTCTAGCAGTCTATATACACCTCTTAAAGGGAAGAGCAGGGTGACTCGAAAAAGTGGATTTATGTAGAAAGTGCCATTTTGTTTCCATAGCAACACACAGGCATAATTTAAGATGTTCCTTCAGGCAGCACTTGATGTTTTTGTCTTGGGGTTCTTGTTTATGTCCAATTACAACCCTAGATATTTGGAGTTAAAGTCGCTCCCCTGAAGATTATGAACTCTTACATGTCCTTCCTGCTAGTTCTTTTCCAACAGTTTATTTTTCTCTATAGCAAAAGAGTTTTAAGGTTTTCAAAGTATTCTTAGCATAGACTTCAAAGGATGGATGCTAATATTCTATAAAGTTAAATAGTGCTGGGCACAAGAGTTCTAATGGCAATAGCATTTTTACTGTGAACAAAACAACTAAGTATCATGTATGAGAGTTAAGTTTGCATAGGGTGATTATTAAAATTTTTGAAAGCAAATGTTGAGTTAAAATCAGCTATAATGTGACAGTAATGACAGTTTCCATCATTACATACTAGTTCCTAAATTACAGAGACCTGGGTCTCCATATAGTTTGATAGAACATCTCTCTAACAAGATTTCTTCCAAATCAATGTTAAGGTGTTAAGGCAAACTGTGAAGTTATCAATGGACTGAAGACCAAATCCATCCAGGTAATAGCTGTGCAGCATGCAATACATTATCCTCTCTGTTAGGTTAGTTTCTTGTCATTGAATTGGGGCTGCTAACAAGTAACCATCAGAATTGTTAATGCAAGTGTTAACAGTTTTGTATCTAATATGTGCTAAAAATGGTAGCTATTTTCATTGAGTGGAAAGGTGGGACACCATTCTAATACAGGATTTACTAGATAGCCTCAGCAGCAATGTAAACTACAGTGTAATGACCAGAACATTATACACACCACACAGATGCTATAATTGCTAATCAGTCCATTATGGGCCAGGAGTAAAAAAGAATTAAAGATACTGTACAGAACACATCATGTTTTAAAGGTCATTTGACATAAAAATACTTAAGAAACTGAGCAGAATTTTCATTTTTCTCTTTGGTGTCTGCTTGTGAACATGTTGTGGGTGCAGAAGTCCAAGGTTGACATCAGGTGCCTTTATTGTTTACCATGTTATGTTTTGAATCAGCGTCTCTTGCTGAAATCGGGGCTCAGAGATGGTTAAGTTTCATGGCCACTGAGCTCAGGGACCCTCCTGCTCCACTCAGGGCTGGGGTTACAGATGCCCAGCACAGTACACAGTTTTATGCCAGTACCAGGGAGTTAGATTCAGGGCCTCAGACTTTTGTAGAAGGACTTTGCCTAATAAATATCTCTCTAACTTGGGATTTGAGGTTGATTTTGACTGCTTTTCCGTTTCAAATTTAAGATGTGGAATTCTAGTAAGAGTTAAGCTTGTATAGATGTATAAAGCAACTCACCGGGTGATTTTATCTATCGATTTCTTTTAGATTATTGTGTTTTAACTTTGAAACAAGAGAGAAAATAGTCTTTTAAAAATGACCATCTCAAATTCAGTAGATACTGAGACAATCTGTTCCAATGTCTTCCATCATTTGTTTTGACTCAGAAAGTTATTTTGGAACAATCTACAGTCTAGAATTTTTCTAATTCTCATCTAGGAAAGATCATATCTTTTTAATACAGGCTCGTTTTCTTTAAATAAACTCCTCTTTCAATGAATGGATTAGACAATGATTCAAAGGAAGCCAACAAGGACAGCTTACTGGTGGTCCGCCGTGCTGAAGAGATGGAGCTGTTCAGAGAGAATGAGTTCTCTTCCCTGTCTCCCGATACACCTCGGCGAGGAGGCAGGATGGAGGAAGGTCTAGGGAGGGAAGAACGCTTTTCTGGACTCTTGGTGACTCCATCCTGATGAGGGAAAATAAAGACATTAGGTTCATTTTAATTATGCAAAGTGATTACACTGTCCTGCCCATTTTTCCCGGTAGAGAAATTCTTTTATTATAAACCACCAACTTTCATATACTAAATAAAACTTTCTCTTTCATTAGAGTTTACACTTTCCAGTTGTTCTATCAGAGTTTATTATCCTGGAGTGACACGATGGGACATGAATAATGAATTTCAGTTTTTAAACATAAATGTAGATGGAATGAACCTATAAATGTTAACTTCATAAATTGCTAACTGCGCCAAAACCTCCATCAGCCTAACTTTTTTTTTTTTTTAGTCAGAATGGACTGGAAGGAGGGTTTTGCCATCTAACATTCCACCCATGAACATAACCACTTAGATATCTGACAGGAACTCTTAAGTGTACCATATCAAGCTAAAGTATTGTGCAATTTTAAAGCTAAGGAAATGAGCTTAATAATTTTTTTTTTAATTCCCAGAGTTGGCCTGTGGCAGAGATAGTAGTGGTCCGTGACGTGCCTGATGGGGAGTCTATGTGTCATACTGAAGGCCGTTTGCTGGCATTAGACTATATATTATCTATTGCGTATGTTGCGTATGGATTATGTCACAGTGGCATGCATTTTATTTTGTTGGTTTTTAGTTGATATTTCATAAAATAAATAAATAGGAAATAATGAATAGGCTCTAGAAAATGGAAACTTTCGTGTTTCTTTTCTAACGTGGAAGTGGTCCATCAAAATTTTTCAGTTATATTTGTTATTAATATGGTCTACTGCTAAAACTGTCAAAGATTTCCGAATTTTACATCTTTTCCTTTCATAGGTTTTTCTGCATCACGGCATATAACGTTCTCCTCGATTTTACTCCTTTCTTCAACATTTATTGACCTTCTTCCTTACTTTGTTCCCTGATTCTGAGCAAGGCAAGTGGTGTGTGGAGCCCGTGCAGGCAGGCTGTATTAAAAAGCTGTCAGAACATGGGACGGGTTTAGTCATGCTAGGGTAGGCTGGGCTGTGCCGTGGGGAGTTTGTACTAGCCCGCCAAGCGGGAATCTTTGACAAAGTAGAATTCTAGCCATAAAAGAAAACAAAAATAAGTACCCAATAAATGAAACTATAAAGCAAATGGAAAATTACAAATACATAAACACCTAAGAACTTAAACATTTGCTTTTAATAAAACACATGATAGATGACTGTAACCAATAACAGATGAATATGTGAGACAAAGGATGCTCACTGAATAGCATTATTTCAGATGGAATTCAGTCAAGAATACTCATTTAAGAAATGCCAGCTGTACGTCAATGCACAAACAGTGCTAATAAGCATTTGATCCGGTGTGTATCTGATCTAGAACAGGCATCTATGTTATTTGCTCCTTTCCTTTCAAATGCTCATGCTGTTTATGCTCCACACACAGGAGGCACATGAATAACAGTTGTTAAATAGTGAGTCAGCGGAAGGATGGACAGACAGAAGAATGGGAGAACAAATAGTATTGTTTAGACACAGAGGGACTGGATTTGTGTAATTCTGAGACCAAAGCATTGTACGTGGTCACATGGTTACAAAATTACATGACAAAGGAGTAGAACTTGAACTAAAGAGGTGAATGACAGGACGCAAGGTGGAAACACCTTCATCACCTGTACAAAACAGCAACATGTAAGACTATTATTAATTAATTAATCTATTTATTTATTTATTTTAGGACGATGCAGATTGGCATCAAAATCTCTCATGGCTGAAGGACAACCTACACTTTTGTTCTGAAATGTGGATTATGAAAAGAGACATGACAATCCTTGAAAAGACATGACAGTCCATCTCTTCTGAAGGGCATTGTTCAGAAAAAAAGAGACAAAAATGATATACAGTCATAATTTATATTATTTTCAGTGAATTCACTTTGAAAAGAAGTTAGTTATTTCTTTATCCGTGGCTTCATGAAGACAGGAAAAAATATGCTGTTTGAGGGTTTCCTTATCTGGGATATGACTGACAATCAGTGCAACGGCCAATACTGAGAAATTACAAACTGCTAGTATTTTTGTGAGTAAAATCACCCTACTCTTAAGATTACAATAAGTCTCTAAAATCATGAGGTGTGAATCATCAGGGATGTGTTGCCAACTTAAAAAACTGAGCAGAGAATCAGTATTAAGATAGGAATAATATAATGGCGATAAGCAAAGCTTTCTATGAGCTGGATTAAAAGACGAGGGCAAACAGTAGATTCTGGATCACCTGGAGGTTGGATGCATGTATTTAACAAGGATATAGATAAAAAATTCTTTGTGGATTTTATGTTTGAGGTCCCCAAACAATCTGCAGGTTCTCCAGTTATGGTGTCGTTAGAAAGTGTCATGGGCACCTGCGGGAACTGCTCCTTTAGTAAGTGTAGCCTTTACGATGGTAATACCATCCATAACTTGAACACGTTTTAAGAATTTTGGAACGATGTTTATTTGAGGCCAAGTCATGGAAAATATTACCTTAAAGATTAAGAAAATTTATTTATTTTTGATTATCTGCATTACTTAATCAGAAAAATGTTAAGAATTATTGTATGAGATCACCTTAGAAAACACAAACTGGCCAAGCTATTTTGTTGACTTCAATGACTTTTATGGATACAGGACAACCCTATGTAATACGTTATGCATCCTACACAGGCAATCAGCACTGAAGAGATTATCAATAAAAAATGCACAGGACCTAATTTACAGGTAAGGATAAATCCTGGGGCAGACGACACACAAGGAAAAGTGGGTGGATTGGTGCCTCTGATAGAGGCCATGCTGTGTGCCACGTGTCTCCTGGAAGACACCACTAGAAATGTAGACAGGCACGACAAAGCCAAACAGATTACTTCAAATCGTCTCTTTGATTTGGCTGTTATAAAAATAGAGGGTGAAACTGAGATTTTCACCCCAAGCGTTGCCTCCACAGACACTTCTGCGGAGGCATAAGCTTACAAAGATGCACATTTTTTCTCCTTCCTCTGTGGTACCAGCACCTTGAGTGGGAAGTGTAATTGGGTTAGCACAAGTCATTATTTCTTGATTGATTTTTACTGGAGAAGCATGGATTTCAAAAATATAACCAGCAAAGAAGAATGAAGTGGCGACATTGCTTCTAATTAAGAATGAGACAAGCGATGATATGAAGCAAATGGCCACCCAAACCTTAGCCAAAATAAGGAAGGGGTTGGCGAGCTTGCTAGTGAAGAACCACCAAAATCTTTGCGTTGAACTACATTATCAGCAGTAAATCAAGTATGAGGGAATTTGGGGATTTAGGAAATTATAAAGAAGTACATTAGGTGTTAGGAGGGGAAACAATTGATAAATCAAAAGCAGAAACAATAGAGTAAATCTTTCTTTAGACACATGAAATGTATGACATTTGGAAGGGCAAATGTTAGCTTTATGGCAATAATGTACATAGCATCTGTTCAAAGTTAAGTATTAAATGCCAATCCCATGAGTTGCTTGGACCTGAAGCAACTTGAAAATTTCCTGAAGTTTTTCCAGATAATGTCCACTTGAAACTTTTCCTAAAGGGGAAATTCTCAGGCTTTTTTTCTGTATCTGTGACTGAAATTTTCTCTATTTTTAAAAATAATATAATATCAACTAATAATTAATCCTATTTAATAAATACTAAATGACTATTGTATCTAGGTACTATACTGTTTTATAAAACTACTATACTTAATTTTCCCAACTGAATTATTGTACAGGAAATTTAGAAAATTAAGATGTAAGGATAAAAGATCATATAGCTAAAAATGTTCAGGATTCAGACATGATAACACACTAGTTTTTTTTAAAATCAGAAATAGACAGTAGAGATCCAAATATCACTATCACATTGTACTCAAAATTCAGCTCCATATTTACTAAGGCAATAAATGGATTATATTACTTACCATTTATTAAGGCATATGTCTAATTTATACGTATTCATATAAACATTGAATTTCTCCCCTTATCAAATAAAGACCCTAAGTTTAAGCTAAGAACTATGATTTAAATATCATGTATGATTGTGGGGGCCCCCAAATTATCTCATAATCTACATACTGAAATCATTCAAATTGTTCATTATAAATTTAGGATTTCATTAGTATACCTTTAATTGTTTTTCTTCCAATCATAAAAAGAGCAAAATACTTCATGTTGGTTTCTGTGTTTTTAAAATATAGTTGATGTTATAAAAAATTAAAAAAGGAAAATGTAGGAAGGATTGACACACATATGAAATAGTTAATTATTAATAGATCCACATTTAAACAATACTTATTATCATAATTTTGCAAATAGAGAACAATATGACTGACAAGATGAAGCACTGACTTTAAAATACAACACTGTCTTTAACCAATAATTTCAATGAGAGAAAACTGTTCTAAGGAAACTGGCACAAAAGACCTCAACAGCAATATTATTAAAATTCAGTGGAAAGTAATTTGAAAGCCAGATAACAGGAAACTGATTATGTTGTGATGAATTAATAAAATGGAATGTCATGTTGCCATTAAAATGGTTATAATAACGCTTCTATTTAATTAAAAATCAATACAGTGTTTTGTTTTTGATTACTAAACCTATAAAACTGGAGAAAAAATAGACTTTTTAAAAATGTAAATGATAACTGTAGCCATCTTCAGAGAAATGAATTATACTTAATTTTACTTCTTGCTCCTCTCCATAATTCCATTTAGACTTATTCTGTAACGAAAACGTAAGATATTATGTTAATTATAAAGGCTAAAGTTGATTCTACAAAATGTAAGTGAATTGTTCTTCCCCATTGTTGGCACCCAACTCACTGTGCAATTTTCTGTATTTTACCTTGCTAACAGAGAGCAAGCCCGGCTGCAGCCTCACCAACTACCATGATTGATCTATTTTTCTAGATGATGTCAGTTTTGGTCTGGATGCTCCAGAGATAATGCTGGGTGGCAAGCAGTCTAAAATGGACCTTTAAAATAAATATACTTGTCTACATGATACCTAGATTGTGCAAGACATTGAATAAATACTAAAAGTAAAGGACAAGAGAAGACTTGGTTTACTCACAGTGGCTTTGTCCTTCGCCTGCTTAAAAGCACTGGGAGCCTGAGCTGATTCACCACTTGCTGCTGGGGAAAAGAAACAAATAAATTAGCGGCTAAAACGTACACAAACGTGTTTTCCAATACCTGGGTGTCTATGTTACGAGACTAGTGCAAAGTACAACTTCTTGCTTTTGAGGCTCAGATTCAATAACCAAAGAAACTTGGGTAGCAGTCATGCATTATGTGGCTCCAGCTACAGTGTGCGTGAAATAACATAGACCAGCCTCTACCAAAGCACAAGGGAGAACAGCACACATCTCATTTTCTATGGGACATCAAGGTTCTTTTGAGTATCTACTGTATACACATAGAATCTTTAGATCAAGAGTCACAGAACATCAAGGCAAATGCTGCCTAGTGTAAAGAAAAGGAAACTGATTTTTCTCTCTCTCTCCTTTTTTTTTGGTTGGCACGATACAGACATGCCCATCCCTCCTGTTCTAGAAGGAAGCCACTGGCTTTCTTGCGGGTCCTTCTGCATTTTATCTCCCAGGCTGCCATGATCAGCAAACCCCTTTGCCCACGCACCTCTTCACTTTGCAGTATGATGGACATACTTGCCTGGTGTGAAAATTACTACAAGAAGGGAAGGAAAACAGCTTCTCAGGGACAGAGGATGAGAAACTTCCAGTCCAGTAAATACGAAATGAGATCTACACATGCACTTCCTACACGACACCGTTACCACATCTGTTACTGCTGTTTCTCTTGGTGCTGCTGTTTGCTTCTGGTCTCAGCTTTAAATTCCACCACCTCCAGCACATTTTGTGTGGATGACTTACCTGATTGGGACTTTAATATCTTACAACATGAGATCATCCTTTGTGTCTTGAAAAACAACAGTATTTGACCAGTATCGTCACACGTAAAATACTCTAGTGTGAATGTTTACTCTCTCCTTAATTTTCTTTGGTAAAGAAATTTCCAGGGGAAAAAATACCCTTATAAGCCTCATATTAGTTCTAAAAAGGAGTCCTACGCTATGTGAGTTCTTATATCAAGACAATGGCTACCTACAGGGTGCTCTATTCAATGTGGGACTGCCTAGGAGGACTTTTCAGATCCTAGCATTGTTTATTTTTTTCTTTCAAGAAGCAGTGAAAATGATGTCATCCACTACCATGATATATCTAAAATTCCTCTAGCACATATATGTAGTTTGTTTTAATTCAATAATCCCTACATTGTGTATAGGCTTCCTGCTGGGTCTTTTGGTATTTGACTTCAACAAGGGGAGGCCCTAGCTAGTCTCCAAATTTAAATTTCCTTTATAGAATAAATATAAGGAGGGAGGTGGAGGGAGGGCCACTGACATGTAGGCATGTCACACAAACTATTTACAAACTGTTTTATAGTTCTTCTTAATTACCACAATTCTGACAGCAGTTTTAGCTTTCCAGGCAGAATACAGGATTTCTTAAAGAGATTATTTGTCTGAGTAAAATAAAATTTCTAAAAATTTGATAGAATCAGCTAATCAAGATACAAGATGTGGAGATGGTATGCTAACTCCTAACTTCTAATTCTGAAGTGCTCCGTACCCTGACCCTTTCTCAATATTTGTGTACAGAAGAGCCTTCCAAATTCAAATCCTGGCTTGGGTATTGTTCTTACATAAATCACACCATATGGTTCCTATATGTAGGACAGAAACACACACTACTTGGAACTTTGGCCAGGCATGGTGTTGCACGCTTGCAATCCAAACATTAGGGAGACTAAAGCATGAGGATCATGCATTCGAGGCTGATCTGGGCTACATACAATTACCTTGTCTCAAAAACCCCAGAACCCCAAAACCCAAGCCCTAAATCTATCAAACAAAAATACTAGTGACTTTTGGTGGTCGTTCCAGAAGATCAATGACTCTCATCTTTTTTTCAGTTAGGTGAACTCCTCATCATGGAAGTGACCCATTACATTAATGCTGTCAATCCTAATCTTTAAGTGACCTATTATATTAAGCTACTTGTAATGTATAATGGAAAGGAGAACATTTCTTCCTGATATTTTGTAGACTGCAAGCATATCCACATAGATACTAAGAAAATACAAAATTAAGATTATCAGAGCATAATTAGGCACACAAAATGAATACCCTGCTACTCTACAGTGAATTTTCAGAATAAAAATGTATTGTAGAGAGTTGTATAGATTTTTATTTTATTTTATTTTTATAAAAAAGGATTTTTATTTTATGTGCATGGGTGTATTGTCTGCATGTAAGTGTAGTACATGTGTGCAGTGCCCACAGAGGCCAGAAGATGGGGTTGAATCCTCTGGAATTGGAGTTATAGACGGTTGTGAACTGCCGTTTGGGGGCTGGGAACCAAACCCAGGTCTTCTGTAAGAGCAGTGAGTGTTTGTAACAATAACGCCATCTCGAAAGATCCCTTTATGATGATCTCTACCATGCTTCATTCTTTTGTTCTACTAGACTTTCAAGCTCATAGATGTGTATATTTGGGAGAGACAGGGATAAATAGGTGACAAAACAGAGATCTCTCTCCCCTCTCTCTTATATTAAGGTCTCTAGATGTAGCCCAGGCTGGTCTCATATAGAAGGTCTAGAGCCATCTACCTCTGTCTCCCCAGTGCTGAGATTGTAGGAAACATGTTTATTTCTAATTTAATTAACTTTCAAGGGACTGGAGTTTTAACTAAGAATTCTGCACATAGAATTATATTAGAACATTTGACAGTTTGGATCAAAAACTTTAAGAAAATCCCAAAGACGAAGTACAGGAGGTTGAAAAGGTGTTCATTTTGGACTTGAAGAATACAATCTGATGGGATAGACATCATTTCCTTTCTCTTTCTTTCTTTCTTTCTTTCTTTCTTTCTTTTTCTTTTCTTTCTTTCTTCGTCTCTTTTTTTTCATCTAAAGCAAAATAATCTTGAAAATTAGTATTACTCCAGGAGGTTTTTCATTTCCAATGTCTTAAGTCATTATACATTGTCTCAGTAAAGTCAACACCAGTAACAGATTTGGCAGTAACAATAGAGAAAATAGGACAAATATACATGGATTTAAGCATGGAGGAGATAAATAAGCAAAATAATGAGAATGCATACCACGGTTAAATTCATCGCCATCGTCTAACCAAACACACAGAATGAAAATAGGAATCCCCAGAACGTGACACTAGAGTACAATGCCAAGATACAATCACGCACTGTTATGTCTGAGCATGACAAAGAAACAGATGGTCATGACCTCTTCTGCAGGGAGGGAAAAAAAAAAAAGAATAATGATACAAGACACTTAATAGCGAAATTGTTCATGATTGCTGAGATTTGGAAGTAAAACAAAATGGAGAAGCTTCTACAGTAATGAGATTAAAATAAAATACACATCTATGTTTGCCAGCCACATTGCAGAATCAAAGAGTCACCTGTGGTTTTCCGCTTAACACAGGAGAGATGAGTTGGTCTAGTGTATTTGATAGCAGGTTTTAAAATGAATTTCCTGGAAGGAGAGTGGGCCTGAACTTCTGTTTTTTTAGCAAGTTCAGCCTTCTTATAAACTGCTATGAATAAGAAAACACAAAACAGCATACCATCAGGAAAGAAAATACACTTGGAACAAAAAAATGAACAATTTTTTTTTAATAAGTAACCAGTAAGGCAGTTGCTTTTTCAGCAGAGTAATAAGAAATTAATTAAAAAAAAAAACACATTTGAAAAGAAGCGATTGTGAAATGAACCTTTTTTCCTTCTCACTTCATCCCTGGAGACCGTGCTAGGTTCCTTTTTAGCTACTTTTCTTTCAGGGGTGGAAATTCTGCCTCTCCCGGTTTTAAAGGGTTTTTCTTTTCTATGTTTCTCGAGAGATGGTCTCCGAGCTTCCTTCTCAGCTTTCTCCTCTTTAGGAATAGTTTCTAACTGTTCTGTCATGATGCTTCTATCATCATCTGTGGATCAAAGCAAACCACGGCAACAAGAACAGTGAGAACATTAGTGACAGATGCACAAAAGCCTTCATATACTTAACACAATGTAATATAAATAGAGACCTGTTTTTAATGTTTAAGGAGAAAAACAAATTCCCCACTAGGCTACTGGGTTTTATTTTGGGAAAAGATTGAAAAAAGAAGCACACCTTGAGTGTCCACCCACAGGCTGTCAGCATCCATGATGGAGTCATCAATGGTGGTCTCGTCTTTGTAATCATCGTAGGTTTCTGTTTTATATTCTGAGAATGCAACCTCTTCTCTCTCAGGGGTAGCTGGGGCATCTGGAGAGCCATCCTTGGGTTCTGCCTGGGCTTCTGCTGCCATCTCTACTTCAAGCTCTTCCTCGTGAGGGCACGGTCTCCTTTCGTCCTCAGGCTGAGCCAGAGCTGCAAAGCGCACACTGTGGGACCCCGACTCCCCTCCATCGGTTGTGGTTTGCACTACAGTGATGAAGTCATCCTCGATGGTCACCACAGACTCAATTACACCTTTGTGCTCACCCGGGCAGGTTTCCACAAATTCCTCCCTACTTCCCGGGGCAACCAGGTCAGTAATCTGAAGGGTGTCTGAGCGGAAGAGCAGTTTGTCATATTCTCCCCCAGCTTCTATCTCTTCCTCACTTTGGACCTCTGCTGGTTCAGACACAATTGCCTCAGGCTGTGGCTGGGTGACATCAGAAGGTATGGCGGGTATATCTGGAGTCTCTGTGCTTTCTTCCTTGGGCAGCTGAATAAATTCCATTTGGACCTCAGCTTTCTCATCAGTGGACAAGTCAGCCTCTGAAACAGGAGGTGGGCAAGGGATTTCCACAGACAGTTTGAGGGCAACTTCATCTTGAATCAGAGATGACTCTGGAGAGGTTTCCTTCTTGCCCTCATCAGGCTTCAGGGACTCCATCGTGAGGCTCTCATGCTCACCGCTAGACTCATAGGACTCTTCTTTGTCCACAGCCTCCTGATGCACCAGGTCGGGCTTTGCCACCTTCTCTTTGACTTCTATTTCATTGACTTTTACACCTTCTTTCATGTGGCCAGACTCAACACCAATGAAGGAATCCTCTTCTTGAGGTCCTTTGGATGAGAGGGTCAGCTCCTGAGAAACCTCAAACTTGAGCTCTGTGGCTTTCCCAGCATCTACATTCATCCCTGAAGCCATCTGTCCAAAGTCACTGACTTTGATTTCTAGCTGACCCGGCTCAGCTTTCTTCACAGCAAAATCAAGCCCGTGATCGGCCTTTGTGGTTGGTTCTACCTCAGCTACCTCGGGCACTGAACTGAGACCTTCTGCTGCTTTCTCAGGTGATGCATCTTCAGCTGTTGTCAGTTCTTTGGTGGAGACTGGCTCATAGGTTACACCTAACCCAAAGAGCTCCACTTTCTCACCAGCCTCGTCCATCTCCTTGGCATGTTCTTTTGATTCAACATGCTCTTCACTCTTTTCTAGGACAGTATCCAGTTTGTCATTAGCTTTCCTGTCATGGTCAAGCTCCCTACTCAGTCCTGATTTGTCAGCCGAAGTGGGTGGAGATGCCTCTTTCTCAGCAGTGAACTCATCTTTGACTCTTCCAGCGGCAGCAAGTTTTACTTCAATCAGTGAAAGGTCTGTGGCCAAATCTCTGCGGACTTTGTCATCGGTTCCTTCATAAAACGAACCACTCTCTCCCGACAAATTCTCACTGTCTTGAACTGGAGATGGGAGAGGGACTGTGTATTTATTGAACACACAGTATCCCATGTCTTCCAGTTGACTGTCTGGTTTTGCAGTGACTTGGTTTTCATCAGTGACAGGTGGCAAACCGGTACTACTCTCTGCAACCACAGCCTCTGATGGGACCGATTTCCTCCTGGCAACCTCAGCATCTGCACTCACAGAAGCTAATCTGGACCTGGTTCCTGCCAGATCAAGCATCTCGGGCAGGTCAGGGGCCATGACGGTACCATTTTTGTAATACTCTTTGGCTGGGAAGGGTGTCTCAGAGGATGTCTCAATTTGAATAGTTTGCTCTCCAGTCACTTTTGCTTCCTCTGCCTTTTCTTCCTCCTCTTTGCTTTCTATCGGAAAGCAAGGGGCTTTCTCCACGGCAGGTGTGGTGGGGGGAAGATAATCATCTCCTTCATCCATGCTTCCGCTAGTGTTAGTTAGAATATCGGAAGCCAGAGGGGAAAGATCATGGCCCCGGCCGAAGTTAAACCCAAGGGCAATGGAATCGAGGCAAGACATAGGCAAGTTGATGGACATGCTTCTTTGTTCTATTGCAGACCTACCGCCAAGCCCTAAACTTCGACTAAGTGTCAAATCATCTTTATTCTTACTGTGAAGGTCCCTTTTCTCCCCGTAAACTTTTGGGTCAATAGTGAACATTCTTTCTTGAGGAGAACTTGGTTCTTCAGGTAACTCAGATGGATAACGCTGGGCAAGTGTGCTATAACCTGCTTCTTGTGCTGGAGCACTGGGCTGGGATTCTTTTTCCTTTTCACCATGCTTGGGAGATACAGTATCAAGGGACTCCTGGGCACTGCCTCTTGAATCACTCAGTTCATAGTAATCATTGCCCAATTGTTGACTTTTTGTCACATCTTCTTTCAATGCAGATGTTTCAAAGTACTTGGACATTCCTGATTTATCTTCATAAAATGGCATGCCAACCTCAGCTACTGTTGCGGCCCCGACTCCTTCAAACTTATCTTTGCCAGCTACAGTCTCCTCAAAAAGCCCCCGGCTTTCTCTCATTTCACTTACTGCCTCTGGCTCAGATGTAATTTTTCCCAAGGTCTCAGAGGTCATGGCTGGATCTAAAAATGCTTGTTCGAGACTTATAGGGAAGGAGCCCTGTTTTAACTCATCGGTCATGTGCTCTTGGCCTTTCTGTTCTTCTTTGGAGAAAGAATGCTCGGTGGAGGGCTGAATGACAGCTGTTTCATCATCTCTCAGTTTGGAGGGTCCGTGATCTTTTGCCACAGCTTCTTCGATGGAGACCAATAATTTCTCCTCAAGCTTTGTCTGTGGTTCACTTTCAGTGATTGTAGGTTCTTGTTTGCTGGGTGTCCAAGTTTCTTTTTTCTCTTGATTTGTGGCACCCTTTTCTTCCCCTGAAACACTTTCTGTGACATAACCTTCCACAACTGGACCATGAGCATCTTTGGGTATGGTGGCAGCTTCTGAGACTGGGACATCTACCACATTGTCTGCTTTATCTTTCTGTGGCTTCTCATCTTCAGAACTATCTTTGGCAGTAGCTAGGCCACTGGTGTCCTGCAGAGATGTTTTGTCAGCTGCTTGGAAGAAAAAAGGAGCCAAGGGTTGTGGTTCTTCTGTGACTCTTTCATTCTTTATAGTATCTAAAGGAAGAGTGAAGCTTCCACCATGAAAGGGGCTTGGCATGGGAGAATCAAACTGCTTCCCTTCCCATCTTGGGATATCCTCCAGCACATCTTTTTCCCTCATGGGTGTCAAGGGACCAGGAGATATTGGGGCAGCTAAACCCCATTCATCCTTCTTTGATTCCATTGGCATTTCAATGAACCAGTCCTTCTGCTCTTTTGGAGTCAGAGGCTCTGCAGAGAGGCCAATGCTAGGCACTGCTATGCTTGGTTCTATGTTCTGTTTTATGTCTTCCAGGTTGGTACCAAAAGTGTGCGCAAAAGGCGACTTTTCTCCTTCCGTGCCTTGGAGATCCTTTTTATCTTGGGGAGTTACAGTTGTCTCTGGCTGAGGAACTAAGGCAGCATGTTCAAAGTCTTCACCAGGCTTACTTTGCATCTCCAACTCCTTTTCTCCCTTGTCTAAAGGCTCAGCGAAAGGGGAAGTCAATTTCTGCTGCTCTGGGAATTCCATCTTCGAGGCTGTAAGTAAATCTGAAGTAATTGGGTTGATTTTTAAACAAACAATAGGCAACAGCTTTCCGGCAGTAAGCTTAAAATCATACTTACAAATAGGAAATGAATGGGAGGGTAAAAGGGAAGCTGTGGACCATGCAAGCATGCTGCCCACTGAAAAATGAGCATGGAATGTCAGGACTGGACTCTGTATGTACTAGTACTGAGTGAAGTCCTGTTCCTAATGAATTTTGTACATGTTACAAGAAGAGTATGCCTCAGACTACGTATTCTTTTTGTTTATTTGGTCTCTTCTACACACTATATGGTGTGTATTAGAATGAAAAAGAAAAGTCGTCTTTTTTCTATTGAAATTAATCCGCATCAAGGAACTAGGTAACAGGGTACAAGAACATGTATATGAAGGATGTTTACTGAGTATTTTGAATTTTCTCACTTGAAAATAAGCTGGCAGGCCATGGGGCAGATGCCAAGAAATACATAATGACTCTTCAAGTATTAGCAGTTCCAGGTAACTTGATAAAAAATTGTGAGGACCCATATGGGGATACTAAAAGTTACTGGCATAAAGTCTGAGAAGACAGCTGAGATTAAAGTCAACATCTGCTGCCAATTTTATATACATGACCTAAGAGCTGATGAGCTAGTTTGTACTTAATCTAAAATTTTAATTTGCAGTCACGGCTTCTGAATTATAACAATGGGAAGTCGCAAGAGCAAGACATTTTTCAAATGAGTTAACTATTACAATATCTTTTACCCCAGGGTCCTGACTTCATTCCCTGGACCTGGCTAGCTGGCAAAACGTTGTCCAGTATTGGCCTCAGACATACTTGACATCAGATAAATGACATGGTCTTGGTTTTATTTGTATGCCAACCCAAGTGTCTCTTTTAAATGATTTCCTGTGGTCACTAGAGCTAAGCGTAGCTATCTGAAAAGGATTTGGCAGTGACTCATAAAAATTCAGCCATCTCTTGAAGATGGGTTATCATGACCTGATAGAATTGTGTGTCCTGTTGTAATGAGAGCAATGAAGTCGTTAGGCTCGTAATGAAAGCTGGACGGATGAAAACTCAAGCGATACAGGCATGATAAAGGGGTTGGCTGCCCTGGAGAGACAACAAGAGAAGCACCGACAGGGTCTCTGAAGGAAACCAAACCAAGTATTTGTTGAAGCATTAAACACGTAGCACTCTGCGGCTGCAAACAAAAGCGATTCTATCACTGAAGCCTGTATGTGCTAAAACCCAGCTCTAGGGTTTGAAAAGAAAAAAGCATATGGATTGCTGTCCCAAAACATAAAAAACAAAAATATACATGTATTAGCAATGTGACTGGCAAACACTGGCGATGAGGAGGGAGGGGGTAAAACCAAGAGAGTTCACACAGCGTCATTAGCCTGCGGCAAAGCGTATTGTATCATGGCAAAGGACAACCAGCTGCAGCCAGGGACGCCCAAGCTCTCACAGCATCTGCACAAGCCACAGTCTCTGCTCGCGAAGCCTGAAATGGTGTCTTAGGACCAGGAGGAGACCCAGCGGTGGACCAGCGTTGGAAAGGCATTCGCTTGGTGAAATCCATGGCAGCACATTTGCGGCACGCATGCACATCCCGACAGACACACACCTTCCTTGAGAGAGGAAGGGATTTTTACATCTGGAGCCACCTCCGGGACCTCTTTTACACTGTCTTCTGGAACTATCTGCGCCTCTGCACTAGATTCCACTTGGCCCTCACTGAGGCCCTGGAGGTGGTCTGAGGACTTAGCAGCCCCGTGCTCTTTTCCGGGAAGGGCAGCAGGTTTCATTCCCTCAGTCATCACACCCTCTAGCGTTTCTTCTTCTTGGGGATGAAAAAGATGTTGACATCACGACCACAGAACAATACACCACGGAAGGACAGAAATATTACTCATGGAACACTTTCAGCTCTGTTTGGATGACCTCTCCAGGGCATCAGGTATATTTTCCTTTTCCATCTGGATGAGCGAATTAATAACTGAATGACAGACACATTATGTACTCACTGGAAAATTATGATGTATAATATACTGATAGAAATGCCTTTGAAAACTCTAACTGAAAGACTTGCTATTCATTTTAAAAATTGAGAGCTGAAAGGGTTTTATGGATTGATCACTCTTAGTGGGAACGGCAGTAAAGATGAGCACGTGGGAAGGATTGTTAGAAATTAGAGATGGTGCTGCCCCAGCAGATGGTGAGAAGACAGATGTACTGGTGTGCTGAAAAAAAAAAAAAGCCTTCTAATTGGTTAGACATGTGTTTTCTCCAATGCAGGAAGTCCCTATACAAGAATCCCTGATTGCTTTATTTAAAATGTGCAATCTTTGCAAGACAATTTTAGGAATAAAATAGACTACCTACTCAATTGCTTAAGAGTTTTATCAGAACATCCATCAGAGCACTCTAAATACAGTGTTTCTGAAAAAGGGCTAAAGGTCAATTTATGTTGCCTCCATTGAATTACGTGATACGCAAGGAAAAGTAAGATTGATCATAAAATACTTTTTAACGTTAAAACTTTATCATTTATAAAAGTGTTTTTTTCCCTTGAATACAAGTGTTAGTGCTATTTAATCACCAACACTTCATGTATAGTTCTTTTTGACACCAAGAAAAAGAAAAAAAAGATTATTATATTGGCAATATAATCTTACTATGCAATTCAAAATAAAATCACTAAGGAAAGATGACTGAGTGGCATTCAGACTCCCCAAAATATCCCCCCCAAAGGTATAAATGGAAACAATGTCAGCCTTTAAATGCAAACATCAAGCTTCTCAAGGCCATGAATTATTTTGTTCATTTTTTTCTTCTCCTTTACACTTCAAGTGTCCACAAAAATAAATGACTCCATTCTACCCTTTAATAAGTTGAAGGAAACTACATTAGCTGTTTTAGAAGTCCACAGTGGGAAGATTCAAATGATATTTCCATGAAACAATTGGACATTGTGCGAAAGGCTCCATGGGAAAGATTACAGGTGGAAAAGGAAGGAATTTTCTTTTTTAAGAAATATTAACACCCTGGAGGGTGGCAGAACTCCCTCGTCTATCTTTCCACATTTACCATGCAGACATTTTTGTGCCTGTAATTTAATTTTGTAAGGGATATTTTAAAAATTTCAAGTCTTCCTTATCATTCAGAATTTTTTTATAATGCATGCATTTTGATTCTAAAGTTAAAAAAAAACTTTAAATGTATCTAACTTCACCAAGGCCTGCTTATTAGTTGAAGTCTAACCAAGTTAATTTACAAGTTTTCAGATCCACATAATATTTTGACCTTTAATTTTCAAATTTTGAATTAAGTATTCTTGTGTCCACTGTACCTACTTCTTCTTCTTCCTCTTCTTTTTTTTTCTTTTTTTTTCTCAAGACAGGGCTTCTCTGTGTAGCTTTGGAGCCTTTCCTGGAACTCACTCTGTAGCCCAGGCTGGCCTCAAACTCACAGAGATCCGCCTGGTTCTGCCTCCCGAGTGCTGGGATTAAAAGCGTGTGCCACCACCGCCCGGCCTGTACCTATCTCTTAATTAAAAATCTCTCATATAATTTAATCGCTTGAAGTTCACACTGTTTTAAAAGTACTTCGTCTTTTTTAATGCTGGGTATATTTCTCGGTGTGTCAGCTGTTGGAGGTCTTTGATTTTCAAAATGACTTTGGGAGAACCTTACTGTCCTGGTTGTGGCTGGCAGTCTGTGAGCTGACTCCTAGCTGCCTTGGAAATGTCCGTCCTTGTGTCTTTCCCATGACACAGTGTCCCACAGGAAAAGGAGCTCCTCTGCACACAGCAAGCCACCATCCTCACCCGAAAATACTCCTGTCTAAGCAGAATATTTTAGCTACACATTCTTCTTCACAAAAATCCCTAGTTAAAATCGGAGGTTAATAGCAGCCCATCACCCCCTGAATTTCACTCTCATGAGAGTCCATGACACATAGGTGGCTCAGCTTTATGGGATGGAGGCTCCGACTCACAATCTTCACTCCCCCGCAGCTCTGCTGAGGTGAGGTGAGAACAGCCACCTAAGAACTCCCCACCGTTTCGCATTTCTTGATGTGGAGTCATAAATTCACCCCATAACATTTATTTTCTTCTAAGTGGGTTCTTTATTCTATTTTTTTTTTTTTAAAGAACATGCATAGGAATACAGTTGTAAAAAGGTGACTTCCGTTTAAGGCTGGCCCTAAGAATAGTCCACATCGAAGGAGGAAAACAATTTTAAGGGTCGTCTTCTTCAGTTTAGGTAAATAGTATGTTCTCACTGAATAATTTATTGACAAAGAACAAAAAGGAGTCATACTTTAATTCAATTATTTCTTGTCCCTTTTTCTTCTCCTTTCCCACCCCATAGGAAATAATGTAAAAAAAAAAAAGAATAAAAATAAATGCTCATTTGTTTCATGTAACACATTTCTTTCATATAAATTTTGAGGCATTTCAGTGGGAAACTCCTTGTGTAGGGACTTCGCTGTCATGTGGACAAAACAAGCTCGTGCCCACCCACCGCCCACACAAAAGCACACTGAACGTGATGCATGGTGGACAGAGCTGCAGGTGGGGAGGAGGAGCAGAAGGGCACCATGCTCCTGTTCACCTTTCTGCTGGCCTAAGTGGGCCTCTGCGCCCTGGGCTGTGACACTGGGGAGCACACCAGTCCACTCTGAGCGGAACAAAGGATGCTCATAGTACTCCTCATCCGAACTGTAAGGCTCATCATCAGGCACAGACACCGAGATGGAGGGGGCTAGAAGCCTACGCCTCTCCCCGCTGGTGGCAGGTTCATGGCTGGGGAACCTGTGGAGGGGACCCACTTGGTCCTCAGCCCCTGCATCTACAAACAGACACACAGGATGAAACTGCAGGGAGAACTGGACAAGACCGACGTGAGATCAGACAGACGAGACAGACGCCTGCAGGAGGACATGAAGGGTCACCAAAGCAGCACAGCAGGATGGAAGGGACTGAGACAAACTGGGCTGATGGAGGATGGAGGCAGTGGATGGTGCATGCTTTTCTGGGTACTTAATTTAAACTACTCTTTAGGAAATTATGCTATTGATCTAAAAGAATAAAAAAGAAATCGACACCCATGCTGCGAAATGGAAATTATCTGTGCATTCTTCTCCAGGAATTCAGAATAACCAAGGAAATATTGGAACAGAAACAAAACATCACAAAACAAATGCATTCTTTCAAAGAAATTCCAATTAGAAATTAAGAAAGAGAAACGTTGTCAGGGTACCATGTCTGCTCAATGACTGGGAAAAAAAGGCTCCTGTTTGAAACTGTGATTATCCAATCATGTACAAATACTTAACATTTTGGTTAATTTAAGTTTTAGTTAATGATTTCAACCAGCAAGAAATATAGTTCCTTAGTTCCCATTGTAGATTAGTCTGCTTAGGACCGTCTGGACTCTCCTATGAGTCAATGAGCTTTAGGAACCTTTAGGATGTGCCCAATTTGAATTTCGATGCGGCCACTGTCTCTCAGAATTCTGTTCAGCTTACCCGAGTAATCACTAATCACAATTACTTATATCTAGACCTAAGTTAAAGTTTGTCACCATCAACGAAACAACACCTATAATATCTCTCTGTGCAATATTAACCTTTCAGCTTTCAGACTTTAAACAACCAGTATTCTAGCCTTATTTTGCAAACACACTGTAATGTAAAGACCATAACTTTTTTTTTCAATAATCAAGTACTGGCAAATGGAAATAAATTTGCAAATATGAGTATATTAAAAATAACACTTGGTGGAGAGAATGCTTTTAACCCTTCAGCATATTAGTTATTAGTCAGCACACTAGTTATTGATAGTCCCATGGAAATTATTCCTGGTTGGGTGCACAGAAATTTCTCATAATAATGGTAGTTATTATACCCTGGGAAAGAATAACCCTCAAATGGTGTTTGCTATTCTTAGTAGTAGCTGAGGAGATAAGCTGTTCAGGGTCTGTTCTGCAGCAGAGATTAGACAGTAGTTCTGGGTTTGTGGTTTGTCCTTGTCAGTCATATGTTCCCCAGTGTCTCTCTGACTTCTCATGCATGCAAATGACTTATAAAATGTCTAACTTGCTCAACCGATTTCACGGACTGTCAAGTAAGTAAAAATGAGATAGGTATTTCTCTGCTTTTCAACATGTGTTTTCTGGGAAACAGAGAAGATCACATTACAAAGTGGGCATTGAGAGATGAGAGCTGGAGGTGAGGAGATGCTAGATATCAGTGATGTTTCAGCCTTCTGAAGTATTCGGCTTCTGCTGCTATCCTTGTTCTAAGGGCTGAGACATAAAAACAGCTCAGAGATCTATAGTGTCTCACAAGAAGTGACATTTTTCTAGTTTGAAAACTTCTCTTCTAATCTTGGAATGGCAGATCCATTTGTGGGACTTCTAATGGCCCAAGCAGAAAGGCCATTTCTTCTTAGTCTTTGTCCCTTCATTCAAAAGGGATAGCTGCACAAGTCCAGGCCACTCCTAGGACAGTGTGCTCTAAGAACATCAAGTTTCTGGTCAGAACTTGTGAGCAAATATCATCTATGATGCAAGCTCCAGAGATGAGCCAGAGAGTTGTGTGCTGGGGGGAGGGGGGGTGACCAAGTGTGAATAAATAGTGCAGGAGTCTCTAAGAGGGATGATAAGACATTAGAGTCGCATTTGTTGCAGAGAGGAAATGTCCATGACAGATGCTTTTGGTTACCACCCACTAGGGGTGGGTAAGTAATTAAAAATAAATATATAAACATAAATAAATAAGGAATGGAGTATGTATTTGGGAGAAGTTTTATAAAAACCCATGTAAGAATAGTAGCTTGTAAAAGAACTCCTGTCTGAAGGTAACTGACTTTCACACTCCTAGAGTAAAAACCCCAAGGATATAGCTTTAGGGAAGTATGGAATTCTGTGTTAGAAGACTCATATTTAGATATAAATTCTACCTGACTCGTTTATCCAAATGTAAACAATGATATCCCTGACAAAAACATGTAAATATCTTTGTGGGCTGCTGGATGAAGTAAATGATAAGACATTTATAAAACTGCCAAGCATAATGTGTGACCATACAAAATAGCCTATTTAAGTGTGTGTGTGTGTACACACACACACACACACACACACACACACACACACACACACACACACAACTGCCTACAGGTGCGATGCACGCTATGATATGCATGTGATATGATATTCAGAGGACCACTTAGCTCTCTCCTTCTACAATGTTGATCCTGGGGATCAGACTCAGGTTGTCAGGCTTGGGGGCAAGTACCCTTAACCAGATGAACAATTGTATTGACCCAGTGTATGACTACATATATGTTTGCATGTTGTATTCCATATATATGCTCAGTTTCAAGTTTTCTTCTTTACCTTAATTTGACATTTGAATTTGGAGTTGAGAAACTTAGGGAAAATGTGAATTCATTTTATAAGCTACTTTCATGGTTTAAGGTAACAATTGAATGCATTTATTCACTACTATAAGTAAACATGCTTTGGGAACTATTTTTGTCACAAAATAATCTGCTTCATTTAACAATGTGACATATAAAAGGATATGATGACTTGGTGAATCTTGGCCTTTTTACATAGCTCTTTTGCATAACTACAGACTTCAGGAATGAAATTTAGCTGGTTTTGACTGGGGAATATTTTTCTTCTAGTTTGCTTTTATTTAAACTTCCTATTAACACATTTAAAATTTTATATTGGGCAAAAGGAAGAGTTGTCATTCCAGACTCAGCCTTGGTTGGTCAGACCTTTTTGGAACAAATTTGCAGTCACGTTTATGAGAATCTAGCTCTCATGGGATATCAAGGACTAATTATTGTGACCTCATGACACACAGCAGAAGGCAGCTGATGCCACTTCCAGTATTCCCCATCATCTTTCTCCACTTGGCAAGCTTTGATCAAAGATTTCTCAGTTTCCAGGTGGTTACTGCCACCCCCAAATGACATAGAGATGAACTACTTTCAGAGAACAATAACTATGTGGCTGTCTCTCTGACACTGGAAAAATAACACCGGGAATTCTGGATGAACCTAACAAGACAGAAGAACCTAACCTGGTTCAGAGTATTCTACTGTTCTTGCACGGGCTTCCATGTTCTAACAGCTCAGTCCAAACGACAAGTGTTATGGCTAGACCAAGGAAGAATCAGAGGTGGTGTGGAAACATTTTAATAAAACCCTCTATAACAGTGCGGTGGTTTTCTTCCTAGGTGAGCTACTTATTAATTTTTGTAAACTTTTTTTCCAATAAAACCTCTTCTAGATATTTCTCCATTTAAGGACACATTCTGGTCTATACTTATATTAGTTTAATTAAAATAAATGGACTTTTTTTTTTTTGATTTTTCGAGACAGGGTTTCTCCGTGTAGTTTTGGTGCCTGTCCTGGATCTCGCTCTGTAGACCAGGCTGGCCTTGAACTCACAGAGATCTGCCTGGCTCTGCCTCCTGAGTGCTATACATAGATGTTCTTAAAGTGATGAATGTCAAATTATTTTCAGTGGAAACTTTCCCTTTGGAAAAGAACATTTTTAAAAAATGTCTTAATTAAGAAGGAAGAGTCCTCAGAATTGCCCATTTATTCAACTTGAAATCAAGCACTCTCTTCTATTCATATATTGTGGTTGTCCCTGTGCCCTCAAAGCTGGAGGAAGAGTTTGTGTCCTGGCGGGAAAAGAATCTCTTATACAAAGCAATGAAGCCCACCTCTTCCCTCTCCCAGCCAACCTGCTGTCAGTAGTACCCCAGGCTGGGTCTTTAGTAACTCATTGAAAATTTGATTAAGAAACTGAGTAGGTTTTTTTTTTTCTTGTAGCTCTCAGTGGCTTTTTTATTTTAAATAATTTTTTAAAAGTCTGTTATTTGTTGAACATTAATTTTATTGGGGTTTGAGATAAAGGATTGATAGAACTTTGATCACATCTTTCATGCATTAAAGATGAGATTATCATGTGCCATTTAAATTAATAATGTAGCATTTATAAAATATACACATATATCTTCTCATATAACTAAAATATGGTGGTCTATCGTTAGATCTTTATGTACCTTAATATCTCTTTTGAAAAAAATAAATGAAAAACACAAAGTAAGGCTTGAAAATAACTATGAATTGTTTGCAATGAGAAGTGAGCTAGTGTCTTCCCCGAATATACTGGACCAATGTGGGGAAGGCAATTCTTTACATGATAGTGAATCCATGTCTTATTTATTCATATTTTCACTGTGTGCATTGTGTTTTCTGTAAGGAAGGGAACAGCTGGGTCTCCAGATAGATGAGAGGAATCTACTTCCTTTTCTGCTACAATTTCCATTGAGTAAGAGGAGTCAATAATCAGACCTCGAGCAGACTTTTGGAGTGGGCCAGCTCTGTCAACATCATAGCCCTTTCTGGGTTAAGAGGGTTCTGGGGCACTCTAATGGTTTTAAGTGGGAGCTCAGAAACACTTTCAATGACCTGAGAGCAGTACAACTGTCGTACACAGCTTCCTACTGCATCCAGTAGGAAATGAATGAAATCTAGGCCCTTGGCTCCCGCTAGCTCCTACACTCTATTTCCTTAATCTTTCCCCTCTTCCTCCCTACCTGGCAGCCATGGTTCCTTGCCCTAGAATACAGCATCTTTTCATCTATCTGTATGCGTTTATGCATCTTGTTTCCTCTGCCCCACATTTTCCATCTGTGATCTATCAATAATTTCCCTTTTATTTTGGAACTAGCAATGAAAGAAGGCTCCCCTTGCTGTTCTGTCTGGAGGCTTCAGTCTTTATCCTTCCCGGAGGTAACACACTTGGAATTATTTGTAAGCCTGTTTATTCCATTCTTGTTCACAAAGCAGTTTGCCCTTTGAAAGCAGGGATAATGTCTTGTTCTCAAGCCTTCGCTCAGAATTTGAAGTTTGTGGGGCACTATAGGTGCTCAGTAAATATGGCACAGATGACTGGAAAATCGTAAGGCTAAAGAGAATCTTTCAGATGTATAAAAGATACTGTACACCACATTTAAGAAGATTACCCAACAGCCAATTGCTGTTACACACTAATTACAGTTGCCAATTTTTTTCATAGTATTATGTTGCTTGTTTAACGTTATTTCAGGTATCAGATTAGGAGGGGGACAGTTTAATTAACAAACAGCTTGCTGCAAAGGAAAGGTACTGCTTATAAATCTGTGACTAAAAAAAAAAAAAAAAAACTGCCTCAGAGCTAACAGCATGCAGTTGAGTAATTTAGCTTTCTATATTTAGGAAATATTGAAATGAATCAGATGATAAATATTTAACGATGATGCTATTTATCTCTGACATAGCAAATGAACTCTGAAGTGATGATAAAAGGAAAAGGAAATGGAGGAGAAAGTGAACACAATGGCCTTTGTGCGTTAAAACTGAAAACAAACTGCTGCTGTTCCTCTTACACAGATCAGCTAGCTTTTATGTATATTCTGAGTCTTGGGACTGAGTCTCTGCTGAAGCCGTGTAATCAAGTGTCTCTCATCTCACATTCTGAATGAATGTTCTTCAAAGCATCCCTCTGTTTTGTCAATGAGAACTGAAGTGTTGATGTGGAGCTAGTGCATAAATGTATTCATGAATAGTAGTAGGTCTCAGCAGGGAAGTAGCCGTGGTCTTCCAGTTCACTGCTCTCAGTCTCTGTTCATTCATTAGCTTCCTGGTCTATTCATTAATTTTTTTTTTTTTTTTGAGATTTTGCTTTGGGGCAGGCTCTGGGGAAGGTCTTGGCAATATAACCATGAGTAAAATATATCATTTCTGGCACTTCCATAAGAAAGTACTGACTCCTACTGTCATGGGGATTATATTTGTTATTTCTTTTCAGTCATAAGAGGACCATATCATTTCTGTCCAACATCTCCACATTAAGTTAACTGTTTATAGTTATTCTAGCATCTTGAACACACAGTTTTCTCCACATAGTCATATTTTCCATTTTTGTAATACTTACCATTTTCTTATACTTCTGATTGTACATAGAAACTGATTCTATTTTCATTCATGGGCTTATTTTCTTCTTGACTATCTGAAATAACACCAGCCCTGATCTACATTACCTGGCACTGGTGTTTCCTGACTGTGGACTGGAGTTTATTATTTACCCTTTTGGATGGGCCCACCCTGACAAGGTCAAGACCTTACCTTCCTCCACAGCAACTGTTTGTTCTGAGGCTGGCGATGGTGGTGGAGAAGGTGGCAGATGAGCTGTTTCTTCAGCGGCTACAGGTCAAAAATGAAGAAACGAGACAGAACAATGAATTCTATCAGCCCAGTGGTCCTCCCATCTGCAAACAGACTCCTATGAAACTCTTATCTTTTACCTGATTTACCTGTCGACAACTTAGCAGATTAACATTCCATATTTTTCAAAATCATTTTCTCCGTAAAAACAAGTTAGAAACAAATGAAAAAATTCTGTTGCGTTTGTTAAAAAAAAATCCAAGTTGAACTTGTAAAGTTAATGATGTATTTAATTTAGCCCTGAGATACTACATTAAAACATAACTAGACAAGCATTTTGGTTGGGATTAGAACTATTTAATTAAAAACAACAAAATTTTGGATGTTCTGCTAGGTCTAGAAACAAAAAATTATCTGGATCATTCATAGTCACATTGTTTGGTAAACATTTTAAATGAAACTTCACCTCCAGTTTAAGTAAGGTTAAGTCTTCTGTATCTTTCACTTTCAGAAAGGAAAAGTAAAGGCAGCACAGCCTATGGTAGCCATCAGGCAAGCTCTACCCACCTTAGTGGGAGCTGGGCCACCTTCTGGCTTTGGTATCCCGGTGAGAGAGTATGTTGGGAAAGGCTCTGAACCTTTTCTGAAGTCCTCCTGGACACTTACCCTCCTTATGACCTTCCTATGCAGGGAAGGAACTTCAAAGGAAACAGTTCCTACTTGATGCCAGTGACTAAAAAGATTTTATAGATTATATGAACTGAAGTTTCCTAACACAATGGCACTTTCGAGGTGGCTTTGTGACAACAGATGTTTAGTTCCCTGACTCTTTGGGATTTGTGGCACATATTTTTAAGATTTCAAATTTTAAAACCTGAGTTTTATTTCGGAGAAAACAAAGAATGGGGATGAATGATAGATTAAAGGTTAATGTCTTAAATTAGGGTTTTTCCCCATTTCTGTTTATGAGAAAGATAGTCCTTGATAATCAAAACACTCAGAATGACACATATTGACTGTACTCTAAACTCTTAATCTGGGAAAGGAAAATATTCTTATTCTTTATTTTTAGTAGACATGTCAAGGACCCTTAATCAAGAAAACAAATCTTAAGGATACACTGAGTGAGCTATAAAATAGGGAAATGTTTTTAGGATTTAGAAGCCATGCCTTTTGGCAGATTGTGCATATGTGTGTATGAAATAGAAAAACTGAATCCTAGAAAGTCTCCTTCCATTTATACATATGTCTATCTATCTACTTATCCAACTATCTATGATCTGCCCATTCTCTATTTATGTAGCTATAATTTGTATATATATATATATATATATATATATATATATATATGTATCAGTCTATCCACTTATCTGTGTACCTATCATTTAGCTATGTATATCAATCATCTATGTATCTGTAATTTATCTTTGTATCTATTACCTGTCTATCATTTATAATCTATGTATTTATATATCAAAATATATATCTATATTTAAGTGCTGGATCAATCTTTCTCTCTGTTTCTTTCTCTCTTGCTGGGCAGCAAGCCTTTGGCTGAGTGCCCTCCTCAGTAATTATGTGTTGCATGCTTCTGTGGCACTGAAGGGCATTTATGACCATGGGAAAAGGCAAGGCTATTGAAGTGCCCTTAGATGGATGAGCTATGTGGTCAATTCTCAAATCACAAGGTCAGTCTTTTCTATGTGATTCAAGCCACTGATGATTCTAACAAAGCTCTAGTTACTGGTTTTGCATACTTGAACCCATAAGGAGAGACAGTCGTTTATAACTGAAGTTTCAGTTCACTTTCTTCATGTGCATGGAGTCATAAATCCTGATTTAATAAATGAAATGGGTCACCATGTCTAACAACAAGCTTATGACCCTAAAGCCTATCAAAACAACCCAGTGAACCCACTGAGGGGGACAAAATAGGTCCTCCTGCTTCTAACAGAGGCGATAAGTGAATGCCACATACACAAAGTATGTACAAAGTAGAATATATCTGTTGAACATGTAGACTTTACGCCGTGACAAGGGGCAGCAAATGCTTGCCCTGACCTAGGCTCTTCTTATTTACCTAAAGGCAGAGCTGCAGGCTGGTCTTTGTTTTGGGTTTCCTTCTCTTGTTCACCTTTCAGGACTGCTACAGCTTCAGCCGTGACTACTTGAACTATCCTTGCAGACACCTCCTCTGCAAATAAACAATAACAGAAGAACACATAATGACCAGAAGTCCAACCAAGTAGCTTCAAGAATTGTTTGACAGCATTTAAAAAGAATTGTTTTAGGATTTGGGATTTCTCAGATACATTAGTTGTTCAGTGCAAGTCTAACATTTAGAAGTCGTTCATTGAGAATGCTTCTTCTAGTATTCCAGTGTGACATGGAAAAATTGGGAGTAAAAGAGAGGTAGGACAGACACAGTAGACATTGGGACAGCATGAACCTTGTCTTTTAGATTATTCCTGAATCTTCTTTTTAGCACTGATGTAACATTTAATATCTTCCAGTAGCATTTAGAACACCCCACAGGGAACTGTACTGAGACACATGTGACTATCTACTTGGTAAATCATCACAGTCCTGGGTGATTTCTTTTGACACACACACAATTCTTGAAGCCTTCCTCACCGAGCTTTTTTCTAGACTGGATACTTAATATGATTTGATTTTTTTTTTTTTTTTTTTGGCAAAAGGGTAGAAAATGAACATAAAAGTTTTTGTTCCTATTATTTGTATAAATTAGAAACAATCTATACTTCACACTATTGTTGCCAACTTTAGAAATGCACAGTTACTTCATATACTTTGTAAGAATTTGACAGGCTTTAGAAGAGTATCATTTAAATTGGAGTCATAAGTACTTGAGTATTAATTAACTTTCTATAGTCTATAACTTTTTATATGAAGTAAAGCTCTTTTTATTTGGAAAACAATGGTAAAAAGCACAACTATCATTAGCTTACATGACAAAATTATAACTGAGCATTGCTATAATATTTCAGTCTTTTGTGCAGGACTGCATGTTGGTATCAACTGAGAATTAGTTTATCTGTTTATCACAAAATAGAGCTTGATACAGACAGAATGTATTCATACATAATAGCCCAAATAATAACATTGTGGGCACTTTATAAAGGGATTTTAAAACAGTCTAAATAGAGATAAGTGAGGAGAGAATTGAAGGCATGCCTTTGTCCATGAAGTCACATTCATCCAACACAAACACACTATACCGACATTATCATGTTTCATTGGTGAGCAGTCATTTAGTTTCTGTTTATTTTGGAAGAGAAATCATAAGAAATTTGAATTTCTTTTATTTTTGTTTGAGGGAAAACTAACTTAGAAATGTACTTTTGGTTTCCATTTGAATATAATATATGAATGAGGTGACTTGTTTTATGTACATTTTAAAGCATAATTGTCAGAAAATAATTTTAACACAATCTTGGAAGTCTTAGTAAACTTCTATTTTTTTTAAAAGAATTTATCAGGAGCTGGAGATGTAGTTCAGTGATACAGTGTATGTTTCACATGCATAAGACCTTGGGTTCAACTCCCAGCACCCATTTTTGATTTTAAAAATTCTATTTTAAAAATATTCTGATAGCGTATTAGGAAGTTCATATTGGTTTACCTAATGTCTTCTAGTGGTTTGGAATAATAACATTATTAAATTTTTTTAAATAGAAAATAATATGCCTTCTATTCAAAATTTCAGTGTATTTGGAAATATATGGCCATGAACAGGAGCTCTGGGGGTTTCATTTGGTCCAGTGAATTTACAGTCTTCCTTGAAAGCAGCAAAGGAATTTATCAACAGGATATCAATGGTAGTGTTCCCTACAGAGTAAGAGATGGCTTTTTTCCCCAGGAGAAATGTAATCAGAGCTCTCCTGGGTGGATTCTGCATCTCCACTGACTGACTCCTGGGATAGGAGCAAATTCACTCAGGGTTTGGGTAAGTTCACGGATAATTAAGAATAAATGTACCAAAGAAACACAAATGACCAAGTATGACAGTTATAAAAATCAAACTAATAAAAATAAAATTATAAAAACTATGACTCTTGTCATATATATATATATGCCTATTATTTTCATATATTTAATCATGGATGATAGTTTTCATTCATCCATACATATATATCTATTGCTTCCATCCATCTATCCTGCCCATCTATCCACTTACCACCCATCCACCCATCATATTTTTACCTATTTAGGGGGGAACTATCCTTTAGGATAAGTTATTAAGGAATTATTAAGGTCTTTAGTTCAGAGGAATATGGGTTTGTGCTGAAGAATTTCGACATTGTAGTTATTCTATTCTAACAAATTCACTCAGATTCACTGTGCTTCTAAGTTTCACTCACAAAATGGAACAAGTAATAGCACTTGGTGGGATCTCAGCTAGGTAATTAGATTATTATATAATAGCGCACCAAGAATATGAAATGAAAGGAAGATGTCCAGATGATTCTTACCACCTCAATATCTCACTAACAACTCTGGTAGTATATTCTGAGGGACCAGTCCCTCTAGGATATCTCTTGATATCATAACTCATTGTTGTTAATATTTGTGACTATAATGATGGTCAGAAGAAGTATTTTTCAAAGACAAAATTCTGAAGGAAGAAAACACTGTTTTTTTTTTTATTTTTTAAATTTTTTGGTCTCAAACCTGACTGCATAAATATTGGGTCCTATCTATTCCTATCATCAAGTCCCAACTCTGGACTGCCATCTAGATGGAGCTCCAAAGAGCTTGGTAGCTTTAAAGCTCCCTAGGACAATTAGCAGCAGGAAATCTCCTCCTATAGGTAAGAGAGTAAAAGACATTTAATTTTTTCTTTGCTTATTTTCTCCACTTTCTCTTTTTCTTTTTCAATACATATGCAAATTTATGACTAGAAATTGGCTGTTGAGAGGATTAAAAATAATGTATTATACATAAATTGCATAATTATCATACACAATTAAAAGGTAATATTGACTTCTATAGTTAAAAGGATAATACTGCTTATTGTAAGTAGCTATTTGGAAATATTATTTATCTTGTGAACTTCAAAACTTGGAGAAGCAAAGGTTTTTTTAGTTTATGGCATAAGTTGCATTAGTCAGGGAGTATACGTGATATTTCTGTTTTCTCTTTTGTGAATGTTAGGACTTCAGCCAATTAACATCAGCTTAGCATTGGAGAAGTTACTAGTAGTTGACTAGTGTCTGAATGTTAAACTTGTGATAGTCTTTATTTTATCATTAACGTCAATATAACAATGAATTTCTACAATTAATGAAAATAGCTTGGCTGTAAAGTCAGGTCACAGCTAAGAAAGGTTTATAAGGAAAACTTGCATAACAAAAAGATAACTCAGAAATAACTCAAGTAGATCTGATTACAAACTATTTAGAAGGAAACATTAAAGGTAACTTCTATGAATCTAATTTATCTCGTAACTTCTTACAAAGATGTAAAGCTGTTGATTATTGGATAGTATAAGAATAAATGACATAAAGATACAGTACAAAGAACATAGAGATAGGTGATGTATCACCACTTAGGAAAACATTTGGAATACCTCCTAGCTTCAATGCTGGGCACACTCTATCAGTCTTTTGTCCCTTACAAAAGGTGTCTAAATTAGCCTTGCACCACTGTTCTACAGTACAGCTCAGAATGTATAGCTGCTCTAGCCCCTTGCTTTCCTCCAGCAGATCATTCACACTACACCTTCCCTAGGACCTTTTTGTTCTCAGTCTTCATCATGGCAGAATTTTAAAGGCAGGTCCAGGATCCATACACAGTACATCTTCATACTGTGGTTTCTGTGATATTAACCTACTAAATCCCAGTTGATTAATAAAATTGATGGACTTGACAATCTTTCAAGAGCTCTGAAAATTCTAAGCTGCTTCTTGAGCAAAGATGTAACATTGTTGGTAGCCCCAATAATTGCTGAATGCGCAGCCTGTGGATTTGGATCAGGACCAGCTGTGCCTACTTAAACCTGCAATGGTCCACCAGTTAGACTGTGAACACAAAACGCAAGCAAATCGGCATATGCCAGGGCACATATTTTTGTTGATTTCTTGCAGCTTGTTAAAAGTGAACCAAGACGCATTGACAGTAAATTCAACCATATGGCTATAAAAACCACTAAATGTTTCTGCTTTGAAGCATCGTGGGTACAATAATGGTGTGTTAAAAGAAATGACAAATCAGTCTACCGTACACTTGGTGAAAAAAGGAAAACAAAACAGGAGCAAGACAGAATGCTCCTGTCAAGAAGGTTCTTCTCAGTAGGGTACAAAATGGTTGCCTAGGAAACCAATGTTAATTGCTGTTGCTGCTGGAATCCAGTCAACAAGGAAAGCACTGTGTAGCTCGAAGTGCTCTGCTGAACAAACACCCTCCAAAAATTCATGAAGAAGAGGGGGGAAGAGGAAAATTCCTTGCTTCTTGCTTAATTTGGAGAGTAAATGGCTCCTATGAAAGTATTTCCTTGAATCAGCTGGTGATGATAGCATTTCAAGAGCAGATTGTCAAGAGGGTTTTGTTTGCTCCCCTGGCATCTTTGCATTAATTAAGGAGGCCAGCATTGGCATACCCCACCCTTCAGACGTCTACTGACACAGAGCGTCACAATAGGCAATGTTGCAGTTACACATCTTTCCTCAGCAGCCCTTGCTCCTGAACATTTCTTCTGAAGATATACTGATTGAAACAAGGCTCCACCTTATTTAAGGGGGCAAATACAGTGTAAGTAGAGTCAATTGATGAAGACAGAGACATTTAAGAGAAGGAGTCACAGTTGTCCAGAGCTCAGTTTTGTTTGTTGTTCTTTTGTTTTCTGGAAGGGAGTTTATTTTGTGTCTGTTTTAGACAATGTTAAGAATGCTTAGCCATTACTGGGAGATACAAAGATAAGATGTGGGCAACCCTGCACACATTGTTTTTGAAGTCTAAGGTAATCTTATGGAAGGACATGTTTTGTTTTTCTTCTTTCTTCTTTTCCATTAGTGGCCACAGATTTTTGACTGATTCTTCTGTAAACCTCCCTTTGAAAAAATTTCATGTATGTGTGTATTTCTAAGTGTGGGTATGTGCAAGTGATGGCCGGTGTGAGTGGAGGCCAGAGGTTTGGATCTCCTGGAGCTGGAATTAGAGTCAGTTGTGAGCCAT